TTCAGGCCATTTGAACAAGTAAAGGAGTTCCAGAGTTCAAATTTTCTTTCAGTATCTGCAGTCTTATTTCTCAGCAAAGAACCCTAATGTCATTAATCCAGTACTTCTGCAATTCCTGCAATCAGAGAAAGCCCTTCTAGCCATAACCACACATCAGCCTCTTTCACCCTATCTGTTATTTCAGTGATTAATCCTGTTATCAAGGGAATAAAGATACCTTTTGCTTGCAATAATTAGGTGGAAAGTAAAATAAGCAGGATGTTCTTTGAGGATTAGTGCAGTTAGTAAAGTGGGAATTGGACAAGATCAAACTTCAGGCAGGGAGGCCTTTCCCTCTTGGGAGAGCATCTCAATGGACATAGTTTTCCCCATTTCTCGTTGAACAAAGAACTGTCAGTCCTGGGGTGGAGGGATCCCCTCGGGATCCACCTGCAGGTGAATTTGGGAGGGAAAAATAAATATTGAGTGTTTTTGAGGTTTCTTCTGTGCACGGCACAAGCTGCTAGTGGAGATGGCAGGGTATTTCTCCATCTCTGAAAGGCAAATTAATGAATGCTGATTCTGATCATGTTTGCCTTTTTGCTTTCAGGTCACCAGATGACACTTAGGTGATTTGCTTTTTCCCCTGTGGAAGTTGCCTCATCTTGGCAAACATGTTCCATTTGGGGATAAAATGATCCCTAATTTAAGATGCATTACAACCTTTTGCTGCTAACCCTATTTATCTTTCTCTTAATGTTCCCACTCTCCAGACTATTTAACTGGTCAATTAGGACCCAGATAAATGATTGATAACATTTTTCAGCTCCAAAAGCAATGTGTTGCAGTACAGAAGGAGATGCCAGTTGATGAATGGTACACGTGCAGTTTGCTTATTTATTTACTCTTTGCTATGCAGAAAACACTGTTAGCTCTTATTCTGTTAGCCTCAAAAATGAACAGAAAAGCCACAGAGCTCAAGACAATGTCCTCTTTATCCGTCCCAGCCTGGTTCATTGAAAACATCATGTGTAAAACTGCAGTTTTTGTATCCTGGATATTGACCCCTGCAATATCCCAGAGCATCTTCCCTATAGGGAATAAACCTTATTTCTAAGGAAAATGCCATATGCTGAAATTGAGATAGATAAAGGAGTAGTGCAAAATAGGCACCTTGTGCTGAACATGATGATTGTCATCATTCCCGTCACCAGTGTCTGTTCTGCAAATAATGTTTTGTGACTGCTTATCACCTAATCTGTTCTCTCACTAGCATTTTGTTCATAGCTACCACACAATATCACTGCAAAGGAAACATCAGGCAAAATCAAAGCAATGGACTTGAAATCCTGTGCTTTTTGAAATGCTTCTCTTTTCCTTCCTAAAGATCTAAAAATCATATCTAAGCCCAAAACCAAGATCAGATTATTTTTTTCCCTGACAGCCAGCTTGGGTTATTGAGAAATAACCCAAGTGGCACTGTGCTCACAGCAATATCTTAATTTTAGCAAGAACCTGGACCTGTGCCACTCTCTTTGCAATGCTTGCAGCAACATCCAACACGTTCCACTGCCAGGACCAACATGCAAATTCACGAGGTGGACACAGCTGTTAACAAGTTTAGCAATGTGTCCACTGCTTTGTCAGCTCATGTTACTGCATCTTGTTCTCTCCCATCTTGTGTCCAGGTTTGAAAGTTTGGGTGACAGCTCCCCTTGCATGGGAAGACCTTCAGAAATGGTTTGCATGCCCACAGTGGCTTTAACACATGCATTTTGCAGGTAGTCGGCCTTGTGATGGCTTGGCTGTATTGGCAAAAGCTCAATGAGATGTATTCAAAGCTGGACACCGTGGACTTCAAAATGTTGGAGATACGTGATTTCAGCTTTGGGGCAGTGGATCTGAGCGGTGCAGGCTGGTGCTGGTGCTTGCCCAAGGAAGGGGGCTACATTCCCATCAATGTCATGGAGGAAGAAGATAAGGAGGAAGAAGGTGCCATCTGACACAGCAGAGTGAGAAGGCCGAAGACGGAAAGCAGTGGTGGAAAACAAAGCTTGGAGCAAAGCTTTTAGAGAGGCAGCTGATGTAGAATGTGGAAATAATGTGATTTATTTTCTCAGGTTCAGGAAATACCTTGGGAGAAACTGTAAAGTAACATCGGAAGGTTATAAAAATGTAATGCACTGTGTGGACACGTGAGCTCACAAGGGTCCTTTTACTACTTTGGCATTTTGAAGCATTTGTACATTTCTTTATTTTCTTGTTACACAATAAATGTGACTTCTGTTCTATTTTGCAAAGTCATTTATACTTGGTGTACATTGGTCGGGTTGTTGGTGAGGGAAGCAGCACTTTTGGGGTACCTTTATATTTATATTTAGCCCAATATCCTAAATAATAAAGGCTTTATAGTAGATTCCTGGCCCCAGAAAGATGTAGCTAAAGGAAGCTGAACCGTTTACTCTGGGGAATCCTTCCTAAAGGCTTTTCCAAAGGATTAAAATACCCTGGGAAACACAGCCTGTGCCTGCTAGAGCAAGCTGCACACCTGCTGTTTGAGCAGGGCTCACACAGGGCAAGAACCCCAGTGTCTGAAGCTTTTATCCCCAGGCAAGGAAAAAGAGGTGAGCAATTTTTATACTGAAGGCAGCTTTATTGCAGCAACGTGTTGACTCTGGAGATGATGATAACTCATTTCTTCTAGACAGCAACCTGTAAAGATTGAGTAAGAAGGGGAATTTTCTATTTTGTAACGTTTACTTTTTAGCACAGTAACATGGTGTTCAAGGCAGCAATTCCCTTCTGCATTGCTCAGAATATAAGAGTTAAAAAGCTGGTGTATGTTGCATCCAACCCTGGACTGGGTGAGTGAGGCACACTAGGAAACAAGCTCATGGAGGGCATGGAGGGAAGCCTCAAGCAGATGAATTACAAAAATGTGTGTTTTTATCAAAAAAGTAAAACAGTAAAACCCTTTGCAGAGCTCCACTAGGGCAGGCTCAGCGGCTCAGCAATAACCTATCATCAGGCTGATGAATGGCAAAGCTTCCCGCAGCAGCCTGAAGTCAAATGTGCAGCTCAGCAAATGCAGAGAACAGCCTATCCGAGACCTATTTTCTCTCAGAACATGGCCAATTCCTATGAGCACCCAGGGCAGCAGTAGTAGCTGCAACTATTAAGTGGGGAAGTCATTTCAAAACCAAAATTCAAAGAAAAAATTATTTCTTAAAAATGGCAATGACTGCTGCACCACTAAGCAAAGAAGGGCTGAGTTTATTAGACATCCTTTTTATTAAATAAAGACATTTAGGAAGCTAGAAGCTGCCGCCCTTTGATTCAGTGTCCAAGTACCCAAGGCAGTGTGCCACGTTTCGACTGCTGGGCTCTGTCTCCCTCTTCTGACTGTTTTGATGCTTTTTTCTTTAACCTTTTAAGAAGCACTCCCCCAACACAAGCCTGTGAAAAAGCACCTTTTTCACTGTTTATTTCCATGCATTATGTTAACAATGGAGCTGTGAACCAGTAGTGGAGTTGATTAGTTTTAAAACAATGTGACCAAAATTGTGTGATTTTTTGCAAGTGTGAAGGTCAAAACCTCCAGCCCAGGAAAAGTGGGTGATCATGATCATTTAAGGGTGGCTGCCTTCATCAAGCATCTTGCTAGTTGTGCAGATTTTGTTTTTCTTCCTTCCTCTTCTTCCTGGGAGGTATTTAGTAAAACGTTAATACATACAAGCTGATAAATTCAGTCTGCTCCTTGGGTCTGATTTCCATTTAATATTTGGAGGAAGAAGGTTTGTTTCTCGTATTTTTCCATTTTCTTTGTTACAGGACAATTAGCTGCTGTCATCTTTATACTATATTCCTGTGGGGGAATGCCATGTCAAGGCTGGACTTCAGCATTTAACAAGTCAGAGTCAAGCAGATTTTCTTGCTTGGACTAACAAGGTATGTTTTTTGGCAGGCAGTGAGTGATGGGAGATACAGGGGAAAGCAGTTCATGCATTGGCTTGGCATCCAGATACGTTATTCCCACAGAGTCAGTCTGCAAATGCCTGGAATATTGGGAAGGTAGATTTAAGCAGGAGCATGAAATGCTATAAGTCAGTCATCAATGCCCTGTTTAGGAGCAAAGACCCTCACTTACAAAATAGACCTCATAACTTGGGGTGATAGTATAAAAGGTGATGCCAGTAGTATTCCCGTCCCCCACCACCCCACTGTAATTCACCCTAAAGTTTGCATCTTGAAATTGCTGCTGTTTTTAGCACTTTCCTCCAGACCTGACCCTTATAACCATGAAAAAGCAGTTTTAGTAAAACAGAGGCTGAGAAGAAAATGGTAGCATCAAACAGGCTTTGCTTTGCTTTACTTCTGCTGAGCCTTCATATCGTGCCAGCAGACAGCTCAGGAAATGTGGGCAGGCAGGGGAGAATGTTCATACACCTGTGTGACCAGGAAGCTGGTTCTCACAAACTCAAATTTACAGATGTTCAGCATGTTAAAGGCAAAACATGTAAATTGCAAAATAATTTGATGGGGAACACTTATTAAAAATAATAAAATAAAATAAAATAAAATAAAATAAAATAAAATAAAATAAAATAAAATAAAATAAAATAAAATAAAAATAAATTAAATTAAATTAAAAAATAAAAAAATAAAAATAAAATAAAATAAAGAAAACTGTATTTGATGGCCCTTGGTCAGGTCCTTTCCATTCCCATTCCTTTTAGGAGTTTTCTCAGTCTTGGTGGTACTTCTGTGCATGTTCCTGAATAATTTTCTCCTGTTCTTTGAGATCGACCATTATGTAATATTACACAGGGGGAAGGAAGGAAAGAAGGAAGGAAGGAAGGAAGGAAGGAAGGAAGGAAGGAAGGAAGGAAGGAAGGAAGGAAGGAAGGAAGGAAGGAAGGAAGGAAGGAAGGAAGGAAGGAAGGAAGGAAGGAAGGAAGGAAGGAAGGAAGGAAGGAAGGAAGGAAGGGAAAGACAAAAAAAAAGAAGGGGAAAGGGAAGGGGAAGGGGAAGGGGAAGAGGAAAGGAGGGCAGGGCAGGGCAGGGAAGGAAGAAAAGAAAAAAGAAAAGAGCAAGAAACACAGAAGAGACAGTTCATGGAAGATAGGGTTTTAAAGCTTATTTGTGCATGGTTTGATTTCTAGAGACCATCACTGCATATGACTAGGCCTTCAACTGGCATGAATGTCATATCCCCTCTGAAGGTCTGTTTACATCCCATGATGCTTTTCTGTTCTGAAAGTCAATCAGCATTGCCCAAAATACATTTTAACCTGGGAGCTACAGAGCTGTTGGCGGTAGGCATCAATACGATGTTTGCAAAAGCAGTTTTCTCTCAAGGCAGTCTGGGCTCCTGCACCCACAACTTTATTCCACTGAGCGCAGCCACACAGCCCTGTCCTCCAATTTCTGACTGTTTCTGAGGAGCTAAAGGTGAGTTTTTTTTATGCTAAAGTTTGCTTTTGTGAGATTGAAAGCTGGCAGGGGTAGTGGGATTTAATTGGCAAAAATTATAGTGCTCTTCTTTTTCTCCCCTTACTTTCATTGCATTTAAAGTCACATTTTCAAACAGTTTTAGTCTGTGTCATGCTTGTGTTTATATTCAAGAGCTTGGGGAAAAAGAAAACTTTCTAAGTAAAAAATTAAAGGAAAAAATCCCAGCCATAATCAATCAGGATCTTCCATTTATCAGTAGATCTATCGAAGTGTGTTTTTATCAGGAAATTGATTATTTTTTCTGCTATTCTTTACAGCTCTTCTGTAGTAGAGCTCTTGATGGCTAACTTGGGTTGTAGAAAAATCATATCTCTTACAAATGTAAACTCAACTGGAGAATTATGTAGCCCCATCCATTTTTTGCAGTGTCCTGGAAGCTACGCCAACATTGATACCCTTGGGGAGATCTTTTGTTGGTTCATGACACTTCATCTTCTAGAAGGTGCCAGGTCAATTTTAGAGCAAAATTATTTATACCTGCAGCAGGGTAGGTGTTATGCTGTTTTTCTTTCCACCAGCAGCGTCCTGAACCCCAGAATTAGCAGAATATTCTTGGGAATAACACAGGAAGCCAAGGCTCACCACTGATATTTGTTATCCCTTAAAGTAGACAGGTTTGCAGCATGGTTGTCCATCTAGAGATGTTTGCCCATAAAATAAATTGCTTTCCACAACTGATCAAGAACTATTGGGTCAAAAATCCCAAATCTGTTAGATCAAGAGATGTCTTCAGATAGCAAGTGAGTCTAGGCTGAAGCTCAGATTGGTCTCAAGACGGTCTCTGCCTTGAGGGAAAATGGGTCAATAATTTAGCAACCCAAGCAGAACAGACCTGGCCAGTTGTGGACTCCTCCAGCTGTTTAGGTGCACACCCTGTTTGCTTTTTATTTCTAACTTGGCTTGAATTGAGATTTTGCTTCCGTACAGTAGATGGATAATGATATCATATTGCCATGAATGCAAGCAGTTGAAACAAAGGATGCAGAAGGACTGGCTCTCTGACTGCTTTCAAAGTGACTTTGGGAGGCATCGACCGGGCTGCCATTAATAGTAACCATTCTCCCATCCAAGTCAAGTGTGAAAGTCAATCACTGGAGGTCAGATAATCAGGAGATTAATTAGTGACTGTGGCAAAATCCAAATAAACTCACATGGGGAAGATATCTGGAAATGGGGATGTGAGCAGTGAAAAATCAGGCTGCACTTAGAACAAGAGGAAAAAACAAACTCTACTTCTGCAAAATTCTTATTAGATGTGCAGGTCTCCCCCAAAATTAAATGTGTGTGTACTCCCAGCACACAGCCCCATCGCAAAAGCTCTGTTAGATGAGTGAGTCTCCATAATCATACTGGCAAATCTAATAACCACTTGAGCCATTCTACAAGCATCAGGAGACATTGCCCCAGTAAAATTTATCCAAATTTTCTGAACTGTGGGGAGAGAGGAAGTGGAGTGATGGCACAGAGTGAGGCAAGGCTGAGTCAGCTGCTACAGGTGGGCAAGGCGAGATGAGTGCACTGCAGGAGGTGGTGGAGAGTCCCCAGTATGTTCTCGTTCTCCCAGGATGGTCTCTGCATTAGCTGGGGATGCACACAAGAGTTTCCCATAGTGGGGAACACCCAGCAGGTGAGCAACGAGTCTTTTCCCCAGCCCAGCACCCCTTAAAATAACCTCTTTTCTCTGCCTTTGACCCCACCATTCAGCTCTCAGCAAGCAACAGGACCATGCTGGAGGATGAGGATGGGCTGAGCGAGAGGGGTCTCAGCAGCTCAAGGAGGAGATACGATGATGAAGAAGGTGAGTGAAAAAATGAGGATCCCCAAAATGGCAGCACAATACCCTGTTATATGCCAGCAGGGTCCTTCTGACATAAATGCACCAGAGCTCCTGACATTCAAGGCTGCACAATATGAAAAAAGCTCCTGTGGGTAAAACAAGGTCTTTTGACCCTGGTGGGAAGAAGGCAAATATTTCCCTGGCTTTTCTTTGAAAGTTGGAAATGCTCAAATCTGCTCTCTAAAGCTTCTCCCCTCTCCCCAGATTACCACTCCATCTACATTGGGGTACCAGTGCCCCGGGGCTACCGAAGGAAACGGCGCCGGCGGCGATCTGCCTCCAGCCGGGACAGAGCAAGCGAGAGTGAGCGGCACTATGAGCAGCAGGAGCGCTCCGACACTGATGACGGTGGCCACGGCTGCTACGAGAGTGGCAATGACAATGCCAGCAGGACCAGTGAGTTGCCCTTGGGTTTCCCAAAAAAAGCAGATGGGGTTTTGCAGCACAGTTTGATTTAAACTGGGGTTGAATAAGCCTCAGCACACAGCCACATTGCCTGTATGGCTTTTGCTTTCAGCATTGCTTTTTCTGATGCTTTCCAGGCTTATTTTTCTCCATGGGGGTCCCCGAGAGCTGAGCACAGTGTGTGAAACTGCTTTTGGGGCTGCTTATGTGATGGGTAGGCTAAAAAGAGGTTGTCAATGGAGTGGTACAGTGAGGTCTTGGAGGTACAGGCACATCTCAGGCATCACACCTTGTTCCCAGTAGGCTATTGCCTGGGGCTTTACCCAGTCTCATTAGGTCTCCTTAGCAAAGATTAATATTTTGCACAGCAAAACAGCTGTTGATCTCTTGATTTTTTTTTTCCACTACCCTATAGAAATTTGTGTTTGGTTTTATGTCAAATCAACCACACTGCAGTCATGGCTCAGCTGTGCGGGCAGGGTCTTAGCTTTGCTTTTCCATAGAGAGGGAAAAGTTTTTCCAATTTTTTTCATGGGGTCAAGCTTTTTGTTTGCAGCGGGCTTTGCTCACAGATTAGGTGGTGGCACACTGTGGCTTCACCAGCAGGACCATATTCCCTCCTTTCAGCATTCAGTAACTGCTACTGGGATATAACATAGCAGGTTGATTTGCAGGGCAAAGTCATTTTATGGAGGAGAAACACCCCAGAAAAGCTTACCTCTTCAGCAGCCATGCGTTTCCCTAGAAGAGCTGCTGGTGTGCTTTATTTGGGTGTTTCACCACCACCATCACCCCACACACACACACCACCCCACCTCCCCAAAACTGCCCGAGCTGAGGAAAAGCTGCAGGTTGTTTTCCCACTTCACACAAGATGGAAAAAAAAGCACCTCCTCAAAACAAACCCAAATCTGTCCTTGGATTTCCATGCTCCCATCTCTCTTCCCTCCCCTTTCTTGCTCCATCCTGCTGCCACACATGCCCCCAAGTGCTCACCTCTCCTGAACGCATCTTGCTTGATTTGGTAACTTCCCGTCATAAGAGCTGAAGGGAGAGGAAAGTGCTTTATATTCTCTATAATCTGCTCCTTAAGCCTGGGAGTTTAACAAGCTTGAGTGGATAAAGGAGGAAGTTTGGGGGGTTTTGTGCCGTGCAGTGAAGGTTTGTTTCGCCGTGAAGAAATGGGGGAAAAAATGGAAACAATTCCAGGTAGGAGCCAGTGCCGCGTGTTATTTCTCCTTCACAGCCATGGTAGAGGGAACGGGAGGGGGAGGAAAGCCTCCATTTTTTTTCAGCTTTTCTTCTCCTTGGCAAAAGCAACATGGGAGCCAGCACAGGGCTGGTTCAAGTGCTTGTGATGCTGGTTGGATAGCCAGGATGATCCTGGGGGCACTGAGCTCCAATGCCGGGGCAAAGTTCACCTCAAAGATAGAACAGGGGGGATCTGTATCACCATCTACTACACTCCAGCACCAAGGGAGCAGCACAAACACTGTTTAGGAGAAAAGCCTCCGAGACCTGGGGGCACCTGATTTATTGATATGAATGGGAACAGAGCATTTAATCCCATAGGATGTGCACCCCAGTCTCTTTTTTTGGGGGGGGAAGACCATGCTGAACCATGAAAAGGCTGTCATGGATTCAAAAGGACCACGACAACAGATGGTTAATGTGCTATAGCGATAAGCAGGGTTTGCAAAGGGAGCTGCATGGTACTGCTGCCAAGCCGTACTGCAAACTGCAGGCAGCACCATGCTCCCCTTTCCTCCATGGGGTGACATTTCATCTTTTTATTGTGCCTCTCAGTTAATCCCAAAACCAAAGTGGGATTTTTGGTTTGTGAAAACATTGTAGCTGAGGCTTCACTGATTAATCAAGCTTGGGATGTGAAGGGCTCTGTGAACCTCAAATCAGTGTAGGCATAAATCAGAGCAACTGGTTTGTCCTGTCTAATTAGCCATGGAAATGTAAACTCTTCTGTATGTATAATTATCCTCTATTATTACCAGTGCTAATGCTGGGCTAATCCTACAGCTGTGGGCTTGATTCAGATCCACTCTGGCTTAAATCACTGCAGCCAGAAGAGGTTTGATGGCCATAAATCAAAACAGAGCTTCTGTGAGCATTCTCCCATCAGAAAAATTGTTTAAGGGAGGTGTGGATCTATTATGTTCACCCTTTCCTCTTTGAACAATGTCTTGTGAGAAATAGGTGCTGTTTGGAGATGTCTCAGAGGTTTTTGTGTGTCTCTGCAGTAGTTTTACTCTTGTGCTTTCCAAATGCCAGCCATGGCCTCCAGCAAGTAGCCATCCTCAGGTGATTTTACCAAAAAGACCAGCAGAAAACTTGGAGAAAACGGTGGCAAAATGGGATAAACCCAAACAGTAGCTCCCTGCCCTTTTCACATCCTCCAGAAAGATGCCACTATCCAATATATCCTCCCAAGTGAAAATCTGGTGCTTTCCAGGATTAATTTCATGGCTAGATCAAATTTTCAGAAGGAGAAAAAACCTGGAACCCAATGGCAATTTCCCAGCCATGAATGGGCCCTCCAGGTGAATAAATCACAAGAATTTTTGCCAGTCCTCATGACACAGCAAAGCCCCAGTGCAGTTGGTTTTGCATACAGCTCTTTGGGTCAGCGAGCAGCCAGGAGGCTCAGCAGCTCTATGCAAACTGATCTGCCAAGATACCAAAGAGGACCACACGTTGCATATCAAGAGATGAGCTTATTCTTTCAGCTGGGGGAGAATGGGGGAAAACAAACAAACAATCAAAAAAACAAAAATAATAATAATAAAAAACTCCCCTTTGTCTATTGTGATTTCCTGCAGCTACAACACATCACAGCTCCAACACCCTGAAATGAGTCATAGGGGAATCCTGCAACAGGTGGAAGCAGGAGGGACCCTGTCTTCAGCACATGGTGGGAATTCGGGCAGTTAGGTGCAGCAAAATCACAAAGTCATGATCAGGTGACAATTGGCTAAACTATGCCCAGCTCTGACCTGCTGCTGGAAAATTGCAAATCCCCTTTTTGCAACTCATCTGGAGATGCAACCTGAGAAGGGCATTTCCAGCACCCCTTTTGCTCTGGTCCAACTCATTGCATTTGCAAAGAATTTAAGGTTTGCTGTGAATTTAAATTTTGCAGAGCAAAGTGGGGCCAAGTTGCAGGCAATGTGAAGTCAGGCTGTTGCTGCTATTGCACCAAATTTCACCCCCCCTTACTTGAACAGTGCTGAGAGTAAAGAGTCTGAAGCTGTCCAGGCATGTAGCTCATCTCTAAAATTAACAGGAATATTAAAAATCAAAATAATGAAGCTTATGGAAGTGCAAGGACTTGACAACAGGTCTTTAGACCTGGTGGTGTGGCTTAAAGTGCTTAAGCAGTTAAGCAGGCTCAGCTGGAGTGCAAGGGACATCCTACTCTTTCCCTGCACCACGGCTTGGGCTTCAGCTGATTTGATGGCAGGACAAGGCAATGCTCCAGCAGCAACTCAAGCTTTTCCTCTGATCACACATGGCAACTTAATTAGTTGCTTCCTTGTGTACCGTATTACCCGACTTTCATATTCGTGGGTCTGAGAACAGGAGGATTCTGCTAACAAAGACATTTTCATAGCTGGATTAACTCCTGTTGTATTAGGTGAGGGCTAAGACCCAAGATTTTATTAAAAATACACCATTTCCATGGAGCCTGGAGTAGGGCTGATTAACCTCTTGTCTGAATAACTGGGCAGCTGGAGAGAGGGGAGGGAGCAGTCCCAGCCACCCCATATCTGCTCAGGCTATATACTTCAAAGGGACAAAATCTTTCCCTATCACAACTGAAAATGTTCTGAGCTGTGGAGATTTGCAGTTAATGTGATGTAGCTCAGCTTCCTAAAGCACACAGGAGGCCTACCCCAGCCTGGCCTGCTGTTTGTGGCAAAAAGGTGGATTTTCCTGTAGAAATAATAAATTCGTATCATTTCCCTTGAAGAGGGTTACTGGGACACAGAGTGAAAGCACTGAGCGCTCATGCATACAATGCAAGTGTAATGTCAGACAGGGATTTGGTTGATAATGGCAGGCAGCTCTGACTTGGCAAAGATAAGCTCAGTGGGTGGGAAGAATGTGGGACATTCCACAGAAATGGAGTGAAAAATGCTCCTGTGAGGAGAATTTGATTGTATTGCATGTAGTGGTGGTTGAATTCCCAGTTTACAGCTGGCACCTGCATGTTCCCTTCCTGGCTGCTGCAACCCCTCCCCATTCATCCTTTCTTCCAGAAACCAGTATCTCTTTGCACAGGGATTTTTAGGCAGGATTATTTAAAGTTTCACTACTCCTCAATAGCTGTTTGGCACCTTCAAAGTTTTGCTCAACACTTTTTTTTTTTTTTTCTTTTTCATGGGGGTGTTACCCCAGCATCCTAAATAGCCATGAAAATCACTTTTTCTCACTGGGGGCTTCCTGCATGGGGCTGACTTGGGGCATCTCAGCAAATCTTTTCCCCTCCATTAGTGTCACCGGCTGCTGAACGCCTCCGCTACATCCTGGGTGATGATGATGAGCCTCCCAACCCCACACTCTTCACAGAGATGGACACACTGCAGCATGATGGTGAGGAGATGGAATGGAAAGAGTCAGCCAGGTGAGAGGAGCAGTTCTTTGGATCAAAAATGCATCGGCCAGAGACTCCCACCCCAAATTTCCTAGGTGGAAACATTGCCCTTTGCAATGGGTTGGTGGATAATCATCATTTAATGAGGTTAGCTTCAGTCCTTTTGGCTTTTTGCCATGCCCAAATAACAGAAATTAAGAGAACGTGGATGCTCTTTTGTGGGTCTTTGCTGAAGAGGAGGAGAGGAGGAAGATTTCCCATCATCTCCCACATCTCCCTGGGTTGTATCAACCCCAGAGCTGGATCTTTTCCCATTCCCAGTTGCACCTGTATATTGCCCTTCTCGCTGCTACACTCCTCTCCACTCATCCTTTCCTCCAGCATCCCATTATCTCTTTGCACAGGGATTTTGGGGCAGGTTTACTAGAGCTGCCCCACTCCTCAATAACTGGTTGGCATCTTCAACATTTTGCTCAAAACCTTTTTTTTTTTTTTTTATTTTTTTGCCCTAGCATCCTAAATATCTCTGCTCAAAAGGCAGCATTGCAGGGAGGATTTGATTGATGATGAAGTCTGAGCTGAGTGAGAATTTTGAAAGGGTGATCAATGGGATGATGACTCCTCTCTAGCATGCTGAGAAGGGAGGCTTTTGATAATATATATTTTTCCCCCTGGTTTTGCATGACTGTGTTAGATACACACCTCACCCTGCTCCCCAAAAATAACTCAGATGTGCAAAAAATCAGCAATTATATTGGGTTTTTCATCAGGAAGGGTTTGGCATGCAGGTTTACAAATTCCTCACAGTAGGATGGAGGTTTCTCAATTGCCAGATTTCCACTCTCCACCAAGGAAAGGTTTAACCTCCTGAGCTGTGGAAAGGCAGCTTCTTGGTGTTGGGAATGCTACCTGTGGCTAAAACACGTGGTGGGATTTAGTCCCCAGGAAGGAAATAAAGAAGCTGAACACAGCAGGGAGACAGAGTTTTGAAAAGGCATTACAAGGTGCTGATCCCAGGGCAAAGGTGCCTCTGGAGACATGCCTCAAGTCCCACATGCTGTCCAGAGGAGCTGTCATCATCAAGCTGCCACCCTATGTGCATGCTAACCCACTTTCATCAGGAAAATGGAGCAAAAGAAAATGAAAACCAATTTAATCGGCTTTGGGCGAGCAACACCAGAGCTTAGCAGGTACTGTGGCCGAGCCAGAGAGAAGCTTGAATTTCCTCCCAATAAAAGCCGAGTTGTTTGAAAGGCTGGAGGAGGGATTTCTGCAAAGAAATAAGAGTGGGGATCTTTGGAACCATGGCACTAGGGCCAAACTTTGTATTTTTGAATACTCTGGATTATGTCCTTTGCATATGCCGTTTGTAACACTCCCAGGTGTTTTTTTGTTTGTTTGTTTGTTTAATAGAGACACCTTGCATTTTCTCCTTACAACAACATTTTAATTTATTAAAATTAATTAATTTTAATTTATTAAATAATTTGTATTATTAAATAATTTATATTATTAAATAATTTTAATTTATTAAAATTAAAATTTTAATTTTTAATGGAGCTGTTGCAATCTTAAGCTCTCCCTGTCCTTCCCCTGCAGCTTTCGTGAGCCATCAGAGATTTCCAAAAGCCCTTCTCCTCCTGCATCCTCTTTGTTCCCTCTGCAGCGGCAGGAGTCCAAATCCAAGTTGTACCAGTTAAAAGTTGCAAGGTTAAGCCCTGCCAAGACTAATCCAAACCTCCTTTCAAAAAAAAAAAAAAAAAAACAAAAAAAAAACCAGCTTTTCTCCCCAAGTTGACATCTCACCAATTGCTGCGAGAAATCAGCCACTGCTCCCAGATTTACTCTGAAATCTTTGGTTCGTAAAATTAAGGAATGAAGGCAGAAGGGCTTATTTTCAAAGTACAAGAGCTTGCAGTCTCTCTCCTCTCCTCCCATGGAAATGAATTGCCCATGATGAAGTTTGAACATTGCTAAGACATTATAAAAACATTTCCAATGCACTGGGTTTTTACAGAGATGCATAGAATGCATAGAGATGAAGAAGGATGAAGAAGGTCTGTCTGGTCCATGCAAGTACAGATCCTGGGCAAGTCAAGGTCATTTCCATGGGAAAACCTCCCAAGTCTTGCTGGAGCAATCTGGAGTGTCAAAACTGCAGGGTCGAGCACAGAGGTGGAGACAAGTGATTTTGCTCTATTCTGCAACTGTGCAAGTGACACCTTGTCTGATGATGTTACTTAATTTCTCCTTTTCCCATCCTGAGTAATATGCAAAAATTTTGCAGGATGAGTGGATGAGTTAATGAGTTAATTCAGGCCTGCACATCTCTCTGCAGAAAGTAAACACTACGTGTGTAGGAAATGCAATTCTCTTCTACTTCTCATACAACAGTTCACCTCCATGTCTCTTCTCATGGCTGCTACTGTCATTTCAGGTGGATAAAGTTTGAAGAAAAAGTTGAGGAAGGCGGGGAAAGGTGGAGCAAACCCCACGTGTCCACATTGTCTTTGCACAGCCTCTTTGAGCTGCGGACATGTCTACAGACAGGAACAGTGCTCCTGGACCTAGATGGCTACTCTTTACCCCAGATCATAGGTACAAGCCAGCGGATATCAGTGACTTGCAATGGAATAAGTGAAAATGGGTGTTGAGAGCCATTACATTGGTCCAATAAATGTTGACATCCCTAGATTTCTGGGAGGGGGGAAGATTTTTCAATGGGGTGACTGTCTCCCTCATTTGGTGCTTTCAGATGATGTCATTGAGAAGCAGATTGAGGATGGTCTGCTCAAACCTGAGCTGCGGGAAAAGATAAGCTATGTGCTCCTCAGGAAGCACCGTCACCAAACCAAGAAGCCAATCCATAGGTCCTTGGCTGACATCGGCAAGTCTGTCTCCTCTAACACAAGTGAGTGCTTGGGGTCCAACTCATACCCAGTTGCATCCTTGAGTCTTCAGTTAGCAAGCCCAGGGGCAGTCAATCTCAGGAGAAGGAAAGGTGGAAACCTGTCCATATGGGACACACAACTATTTACAGAAGCAGGAAAGACACAAAAAGCTTTGTCACTGTTGGTCCTAAGAGTGGCAGATAGTTGGACTGAAAAGCAGCGTTGTCTGCTGAGATGGACAAAGGCACTGTGCAGCAGACACCAGAACTGTGTGATGGACATTGCATTTGGCCAAGGGGCAAGCAGCCTACAAGCAAACCCTGTCTGCTCCATAGCTAAACCTGCCTATTTTTGAGCCTTTATAAAAGGAGATTTGTTTGTTTTCATGCTAGATTATTTACTTAGGTTTAAATGGAGGTCATTTGGTGGAGCACAGGATTTGCGAGGCTTCAGTTGCTCCCCAGGCAGACACAAACAGCAGCACCCAAGCCCTAAGTGCACATGGAAGAGACTGTCAATAAACAATATTCCCACCCCATGGGCATCTCCAGGTTTCAAAGTAGCCATCATCCATGCCTGAGTACTAGATATTTGAGCTAATATTTGCCCAGATGCTCTAAAAATGGATAATAACTTGGATTCTTTGTGAATATTCCCTGTAGATATGGAAAATAAGGGAATCCTTCATTTTCTTCTAATGCCTCACTGAGATGATGGCATTGCTTCAAGCTAGCAAGGAGTAGCACCAAAGTTAAAAAGACGGCTGTTGGCACAGCAGAGGTGTCTTTCATGTTTCTTCTGTCAGCAGAACTCTGTGATATCAGACTAAATACTGCTGGCATTTTGAAAAACAGGATGGCACCTATTAAAAATTTTATCATCTTTTATAGCAGCTTTAATATTGAGTTCTGAAGAAAATGGGGGTGGGTGCTGTGGTTGCAACTGGTGTTTCATTGTTGCAGAGCAAAGCATGGTCCAGATGGTTTTCCCCAAAGAAAACACACTTTGAGAATACAGGAGGTTTCCTGAGAAAACTGTGTCACAGAAAATGCATGGAAAAAAAAATGGACCGTCTATATCTAACTAATTGAGTTAAAGCATCTGAGAATAAAAATGGGAATCATAACCAGCTTAGGGAGAATAAATATTTACATGAAGCTTGGTAGTGGCTAATGTAAATATAATGAAGTTCATAGCAAATTTCAGATTTTGGTTTCTTTGTACAATTAAGGGTCTAAAAAGCAAAATAAAAAATTGGGTCTTACTAAGAAACAGAATTTGCCCTTCTGAACCCTTTTATGGCCTCAAAGAGAGCATTGATGGGGCATGGGGTGATACAGGCTCCTTGCATGAAGCCTCTGCAGAGAAAAGACATGGGTTAAGGCAGGAAAGTGTATTTTTTGCTAGTGGAAAAATTGTTATGTGTGGGATAATAGTGATGAGAGTGGAGGCAAAAGCAAATTGCAGGTATATCAGTACTGGAAAGATCACATCAGCACTGGGCAGATGATTTTCAGCCTGGCCACTTGCCTTTAGCATCACTCAGACAGCAGCTCCCTGTGGTACCCACATCTCCTGTAGCCTCTCTTTTTTCCAGACCGCAGCCCTGTCCGGAGCCCAGCTGCTGGCGCCACCTTCCACCGCTCCACTGAGGACCTGAGGATGCGGCAGAGCACAAGCTACGGCCGCCTGCGTAAGCCAGGATGGGCAGCAGGGAGGCTGGAAGAATCCTAAAAGAAGTAGGAAAAAAAAATGAGTTGCAGTGTGACATAGGGTGATTGCAAGCAGATCACACCACACCTCCCCTCTGTGGCCGTGAATGAGATGTGTTCTGTGCAGCCACAGAGTGACTGTTATTAGAAGAGCTCTTATTATTGGGCTTTTATCTTACTTCACCTAGCTTTCAAGCCCAGCTAAACTAAGTAATGTTTTATTTGCACTAAAGTCCTCCTGCACCATTTTCTTCTTGCACGGGGGGCTGAAATTCAGCTGCATACCACTGAGTGGTTTTCTCACCCTCTCTCTTGTCTCCATCAGGCCATGCACAAAGTCGAAGCATGAATGATATCTCAGACACACCAAGCACTGACCAGGTAATAATCCCCAAAGTGTTTATGTGATGCAGTGAGGAGAATTTCCAGCACAACTGGCTGTTATGGTCCTGTTTGCAACTGCACCATGATGCGTTAGAGACTCAGTAATAGTTAAGGTCAATGTGAGCCTTGTGCAGTTTCACTCAGTCAATAACCACACACAAATTCCTAATTAATGAAACTAATACACATACTGATCCTTGTTAATTCTTAAGGAAGCTGTCCCAGAAATAATCATAAAATCATAGAATCATCTAGGTTGGAAAAACCTTCAAGATCATCAAGTACAACCATCAGTCTGACTTACTGAGTCCCATCACCAAACCACGTAGGGCCACGTCCACACATCTCTTAAATACCTGCAGGGTTGGGGACTCCACCAGTTCCCTGGGTTTAACCATCAGGAAATTCTTCCTGACATATAATCTAAATCTTCCTTGGCAACTTGAGGCTGTTGCCTCACATCCTGTCACTTTTCACCTGAGAAAAGAGATCGACATATATCACTGCAATCTCCTTTCACATAGTTGGAGAGAGCGCTGAGGTCTCCCCTCAGCCTCCTCTGCTCCAGACGAAAAAGCCCCCATTACTTCAGCTGTTCCTCACACAACTTGTTTTCCAGTCCCTTCACAACCTCCGTTGCTCTTCTCTGAATCCATTTCAGCAACATTATATCTCTCTTGTAGTGAGAGTCCCAAAACACTGCACTGAAGGTGCGGTCTCGGTACTGTGCACAGAGGGCCAAGCACTTGCCTCGTCCACTGGCCACACTATTTCTGAGGCAGGCAAGGATGCCCTTGGCCTTTGACCAGCACCTCCAGGTCAATAACTGTGCTTGAGCTGGGGCCAGCAAGGTGAACACAGAAGTAGGGATCTGCAAAGATGCTGATACAGCTGAGATCTGACCTCAAGTTGCACCAGAAGTTTAGATTAGATGTCAGGAAGAATTTCTACATGGAAAGAGTGCTTGGGCATTGGAACAGGCTTCCCAGGGAAGTGGCGGGGTTGTCATCACTGGAGGCATTTCAGAGACGTGTGGACATGGCACTAAGGGACATGGTTTATTGGTGGACTTGGACTCTTACGTGATGGTTGGACTTGATGAACTTAAGTGTCTTTCCCAGCCTAAATGATTCTATGATTCTATGATCCTTGGGGTACAGAAAACACGTTTAAAACCCATTGATAGGATAGGAAATGTATTTGACAGAGTGCAGGGATCTTAAAAGAATCTTGGCTCAGCACCATTGCTGGGTACAAACAGTTTGCTTGGGGTAAATCCCAACCAGCACTTGTGTTTGCAAACAGGAATACAGCCCTTAGGAAAACAATCTGTAAGTAAAGAGGCAGTTTGCAATTTTTCCTCTGTTGCAATATGACAGGTGTGAGTTTCTTCATGCAAACCTTAGTCTGGAGGGAGCTTTTCCCATTGAATTGTTTTGCAGAGGAGAGCTGGGAAGGAGGTCAGTCAGGCTGCCCTGGGCAATTTGCAGACAGATCTCTGCTTGGTGATGCAATATATTAGCAAGTTTTTGTGTCATTCTTTTACGAGGTGTCCTGGCCCCCTCCTGGCATCGAGGCTGTTTAGTTGGGATCTGGTGATCTGTTATGTGGACTTTTGCTGTGTTTCTATTTGTGCATGATTTCAGCATAAGTCTAAGGAAAAATTGAATGGAATTTCATACAACTATGTATCAGAAAGGTTTCATTCTGCATTTAAACTCTCTTGTCCACAAGAGAAACGGAGTAATTAAGCATGTGTCATGTAGGCATGCTTTCTGCAATCGAAATTGAAATGCAGCTTGCAATTTGGTCCTTGGAAATACTTTTGATGTTTTCCTACTGCTTTCAATCATGGAGGCATTTGATACAAGGTGTTTGGTGAGGAACCAAAAGGTAGATGTGATTGAGATGCGACTTGTGGAGCTGGAAAAGATGCTGATCAGGGGAAAGTCTGCATCAAGGCTGAGACTGCAAAAGTTGAGTACCTTTGCACCTGCCAGATCAAGGGGTAATGCCTGAAATCTGGCAGTCAGGAGCTAATTAGCAAATGCAGACAGTAGGGAAAGAAGGATCTGGAATAGATTTGAAAGGGACAGTACGGTATAAGTGTTTGCCTTGCCCTCGGGGACATCCTCACTGGATGAAATTCATATATTCTTTGATTGCCAGAGCATGATGCACTGGGGCTCATGCTCCCTTCATGGCTCCCAAGAAATGGTAACATCTTCAAGCTTGGTCTCACCGTTTGGGACTGGCTTTAAAATATGTCTTTGTGTGTTGAAAGGGAGCATGTCCTCTCTGTCTGCTTCACTTGCCTATTGCCATCCAGCAGGTGGCACACCCCCAAACCTAGTCAGTGGGTGCAATGGCTGGGAGGTGCAGGACAGGGATGCCGCAATACACGGGAGGCAACATGCAGGCAGAAGGTTTCCAGAGCACCTTCCTAAATTAATGCTATAAAGGAATCAAATTGCCTGGTAACGAACCCCAAATATAAGCCTCCAGCAATGGGATACAAAGGGTTAATCACAAAATATGTAAAGCATTTAGTACTGAAGAATGCTGGGTTTAATGCTACAAAGTTCAGTGTTACACAAAGCTTAGTGGTCACTGTTAACTCCTGCTCTTGCTTATTCCAAGCTGCGTTGGAGGAGTTATTTTATTACTATTATTTTTTTTCCATTTGGGTTTAAAGGATTAGAGAGGGAGAGCCTGCTGCCCAACTCACATGCCTTCCCTCATGCTGGCATATAGGTTATAACAACACCCTGCCTGGGTTTGTATAGAACCATTTTAAACTAGTAATGAAAGAGCTGCAGGGGAGAAGAGACAAGGAGAATAAATCCATGATCGAGGTTTCCTACTTGCATTATCTGCTCTAAGAATGGGATGTGGGGAAACAAGCTGCAGAAACATTGGCCTAAGCCGCCCATGGACAGTACCAAGTGGTGTTTCAGCATTATACGGGGCCTTTAGGGAGCCTGGGGCAGCAGGCCTGCAAACAGACTTATAGGTATGCTGCTGGCTTGCTCCAGGATCAGTATTTTTGGCTCAGATTTTCTTCAGGGACAGGCTGGGGATTGCCACAGGCTTTTCTTGCTTAGATCCCAGTGCAGCAAAGCACCTTTTGCAAACCACCAAGTTGCATGCTTGCATTGGGGAGCCCAGAGTATGTACTTCCAAGTTTATCTTGGGTGTCGTGGTGGTTTTGAATAAGGAAGAAATTCAGGTTTACAAATTCTCACTGCTTTATTCATGGATATGGCTCCCAAATTCCATAGGAGATCCTGGGAACATCAGAGAGCAAGAGGTTGAAGTCTGCAGTCTGCGCTTGATACTGCAGCTTTAGCTTTTGTAGTCAGGGTGTGGAAAAGGGGGAAAAGCCATTTTAGCAAACACTCCCTTCCCCACTTCATTTTCCCCAACAGCTGAAGAACAAGTTCATCAAGAAGATCCCCAAGGATGCAGAGGCCTCCAATGTGCTGGTAGGAGAAGTGGAATTCCTAGAGAAACCCTTTGTGGCTTTCGTGCGGCTCCTCCAGGCAACAATGCTAGGAGGGGTGACAGAGGTGCCCGTCCCGACCAGGTGAGCCCAATTCCTTGGGTCTGGAGCTGATCTTGCAATATGGGTCCTGGTGGTGTGAGCTTACCAACATGGTCCCACTCCTCTCCCAGATTCCTCTTTATTCTCCTGGGCCCTGCAGGAAAAGCCAAATCCTACAACGAGATTGGCAGAGCCATTGCAACCCTCATGGTGGATGATGTGAGTAGATGCAAAACCTGACCCTCACTGGGTCATTCATTTGCCCAAATGAATGAGTTTTAAAAGCCCACAACAATGTGCAGCATATGTGCAGGAGACCACCCCCAATCTGACACATCTCTTGACTCCCCAGCTCTTCAGCGATGTTGCCTACAAAGCCCGGGACAGAGAAGACCTGATTGCTGGCATCGATGAATTTCTGGATGAAGTCATCGTTCTGCCACCTGGCGAATGGGACCCCAATATTAGGATTGAGCCACCAAAAAAAGTGCCCTCAGCTGAGAAGAGGTGTGTGGTAGACATGGGGCTAGTCCCAACCCTGTGGCCATCCCTGTCTTTCCCATTTGAAGATGCTGGAGGAAAACAGATGCTTTGTTTGCACTCATCCCTAGATATATTCTCCACAGATTTTCCAGAAATGCTGCTTTTTCTGCAGTATCACCCAATGACAGTGATATCCCCAATATCACTTAAGAGCCATTTCCACTCCACATAATCTGCATTACCCTCAGCACCCACCATTCTGGGCTGAGAAAATCCAGCTCTTTATCTTTCCAAATTTGCCCCCAGAACCCAAGCCCTAGTGCAGGTGGTGAGCTGCACCATGGCCTTGGTCCTTTCCTCAGCCCCATATCAGAGACAGGCATGGCAAGGCAGGTGGCACGGCCAACTCTGGACACTCTCCCACAGGAAATCAGTTTTCTCGCTGAACGAAGTGGGGCAGATGAACGGCACAGCTGGTGGGGCAGGTGCTGGGAGCGGCGGAGGAGGCAGTGATGATGGGGAGATGCCTGAAGTGCATGAAATCGGGGAAGAGCTTGCATGGACTGGCAGGTGAGCATCACCCAGACACCCAAAAAACCTCAGAGGATGTTGGCACCCATAACCATCTCTTGCTGGTTCACCCCACGTTCTCCTGGGGCAGAGAGAGGTGAACTCCTTACAGGCACAGTCTTCTGTGCAGTGCTGTACGTATTTTGGTTGAGGGCATATGCATTGGCTGTGTCTCCACAGGTTTTGTGGTGGCCTCTATTTGGATATCAAAAGGAAGCTGCCCTGGTTCCCAAGCGACTTCTATGAAGGTTTTCATATCCAGTCCATCTCTGCCATTTTGTTCATCTACCTGGGCTGCATCACCAATGCCATCACATTTGGGGGCTTGCTTGGAGATGCTACAGACAACTACCAGGTCAAGTCCAAGGACAGGGTCACTTTGAACTGGTGATGGAAAGCAGGGATGAGCTGGGATGGGATGGGTTCTGCCCCCATTGTGCCATGTCAATTTTCAGTGCTAGGGATGGAAATTTATTCACAAATGGGACTGGCTGGCCTTGAATACTGAGAGGGTGGGAAAACCCATCTCAACAGCAATACCAGTAGCAAAGGAATACGATCCCAAACTACCCTATATGAGTCCTTCATTCTTATCTCCATCTGGGATGTCCATGGGGATGTAACCTGGCACAGCACCACCATAAACCTGGGTTTGATCTGTCCCCAGGGTGTCATGGAGAGCTTCCTTGGCACAGCAATGGCGGGCTCCATGTTTTGTCTCTTCGCTGGGCAGCCACTGATTATCCTCAGCAGCACCGGCCCCATCCTCATATTCGAGAAGCTGCTCTTTGACTTCAGCAAGTAGGTGCTGAATAATGCCGGGGGGGCATGACCCCTCTGTACCTGGACAGGGGATGACCCTCAGCCCATTGTGCACTCTCATAGGACCCCTATTGCTTTGTGCCTGCTTTCAGAGGCAACGGCATTGATTACATGGAGTTTCGCCTCTGGATCGGCTTGCACTCTGCTCTACAGTGCCTTATCCTGGTGGCCACTGATGCCAGCTTCATTATAAAGTACATCACACGCTTCACAGAGGAAGGCTTCTCCACCCTCATCAGCTTCATCTTCATCTATGATGCCATCAAGAAGATGATAGGAGCCTTTAAGTATTACCCCATCAATTCAGACTTCAAGCCAGACTATGTGACCATGTACAAGTGCGAGTGTGTTGCTCCTGACCCAGGTGAGTACAAATCTTTCTCAGCATTGGACGGGGATAGTGAAGGGTGGGGGGGGGGGGGGGGGGGGACACGCTAGCAGAGGGTCCTACAGCAAGTAGAACCTGCTGGATCACTGGCCAAAGACGTTGAAGGAGTCAGCTACCCAGTGGGCATGGGGCAGAGACACCTCATCTTTCTCCTCTGAGGGTGATCTGGGGCAAGATTATGGAAATAGAGCCTTGTCCCCTGCAGCCAAGCATGTCAGTGCTTGCTGGGATGCAGTTAACAGTGCTGGAGAGCCAAAACATCAGCCTGAAGCAACCAGGCCTGGATGAATAAAAAGGAAAGAAGAAAGGAAGATTTTTAAGATCATTAACTCCACCCAGCTACCAATGGAAACTTATTCTCCAGAAAGTACAGAGGAGGGATTTTGTCCTCTCTAGTGTCCAGGATGCCCAGAATATTCCAGTTGGGTGTGCAATCTTCCTTGGACTGTTTTTTCTTTTTCTTTTTTTTTTTTTTTTCCTTCTTTCTTACTTCTCTTCAAAAAGGAGAGACCACAAGGTTCTGTGAAGACAGTCTTTTGACAGCTCCCCTGGTTTTGACCCAATTTCTACTATGGGCAAAAAAGGAAAAAGTTGTAATCCCTTATTAAAGCAGGCTGTTCTTTGGGGGAAGCAAAACAATGCATTTTCCAGATATAGGCTTTTCTGATGGTGGCTCAGTTGAAGACGGCTGTAATTCAGAGTTGCCCTGAAACCACTACTTTTTTGCCACCACTGCTTTTTTGCTCTTGGATAGATGAGCCTGACAAGCCTCAATACACATCACAGCTCAGATGTTCCTACTGCTGCCTGAAAGGGAACAGTGACCTTCAGTTTTGGGCTAATGCCAGTGACCACCTTCTCTCAGATGAGCTGAATTTATATAAAAAGTACAAATTATAACAATGTGGGGAACTGCAGGTGGAGAAGGCAGAAAGGTATGACAGTGAAGAAATAAAAACAACCAAGACCACATTGCCTATCTCTAATACATCTGTCACTGCAACTGTCTTACATGCCATGATGGAAATAACGTTCGGTCTCTTATTGTTTTGATTTTGTGGTGTTTTGTTGTGTTTTTTTTTTTTTCTTTTTTTTTTTTTTTCCCCTTAATTCCGGTTTATCAACCATGTCCTGAAGGAACCGATCACATTGGGTTTTGAAGCCCCACAGGCAGTGGGAAGCACCTGGATACAACGTCAGCCTTTCCAAACCCAAACCTTCCCAACTCTGGCCAGCAGAAAAGCTTAGCCCAGGTTTCTGATGCAACCCCCAGGGCTGAAACATCCTAGCCTTCCAGAGCCCCCAGCCTGGCCTCAACCAAGAGCAAACCCCAGTGGTGGCAGGGAGATGAGTCTGGGTGCCAAGAGGCATTTGCACCCTGAAACCTTCAGCTTCTTGGCAATCCGGCCCTGGTTCCTCACCCTTGCTGCTCTGGATGCCAAAGCAGGGTTGCCCATGCTAGCTTTTCCGTTCCTCTAGATATTGAGAAGTTGTGTTTATTCTCCCCTACATCCTTTTTTTTTTCTTTCTTTTTTTTTTTTTTTAATAGTTCTGATTTTTGATTATTATAACTGATTTGTACCATATTTGTCTCTGCTGCACACATCAATTTGGGCTGATTTCAATTTCAAGTGAGTATCGCCTTCTAAATATTAAAGCTGTTTTAATATTTGATACTCGTACCTCTTGAGGTTTTGTTGTTATTTTTATCATGTATTTTACTTTTCTCTCTGCTCCAATAGAAAGGTTTATACAGCGCCTTTACAGGTTCTCTTCTAAGTTACTTCCAATGCTACGCTGTCTTTTGGGTTGTAGAAATCACAAATTTTCTAGTTTCTGTAATATCAAAAGGTTATAGAAAATGCTTTTAATACTGTAAAGAAGCCTGAATTTGCCAGCACCATTTCCTGGAGCTTGGTTTCAGCAGCCCCGGCTTCTCAGCTTCTAACCCAGCAATCACTTCTCCTTCATTAATTCTCTGTACTGGGGAAGGAGGTGGCAGGTTGCCAAAATCCCCACCTGGCTGCAGGAAGAGGATGGACCGGAGGGACTGGGGTGGCAAAGCAGTGCCGGACCCTGCTTAGGTCACCCACAAGGAGCATGGGTGTTCCCGAAGCCGCGGAGCTGCATCACCTGAAGATTTGAGTGGAACCGCTCTATGCACCAGAGGAGAAGGTTGTGGGGCTAGAGATAAAAACCCCGTGTTTTTTTTTTACTGGTTGTTTTGCAGTAAGAAATCAAAATACCCACAAAAATATTAATGAAAAAAAAAAAAAAAGCAACTGCCACCACCAACAAATTGGACGTTATTGGATACTGACTCTCCAAAAATGACAGGCTACTTTTTCAGTCTTCTTCACCCTTCCACCTTTTTGGTTTGAAAGGAGGAGTGGCAGCACAAGCTGGAGTGCTCAGCCCCACTTGCCAGTGGCTTCCCACACTAGGAAGCTCCCCAGAATCTTGTTTGCACTCACCAGCCAAGAGGGATAGGCAGCCAAAGGGAAAGATGTGCTGTTCACCAGTGCATCTCTGGATTGGGCCAGCTCTGGAGGGTGTGCATGGGATTAATCACGGAGAAGTTGCTGAGGGGTTAGAAATAAGATTTGGCTCCCCACATCCTGCTTTGTTCATGGGCACTGACACCTGCATACCTGTCAGAGGATGTACTCAGCCCCACGTTTGCTTTTACACCACCTAATCTGGGTTCAGCAAGGCTGAGCTGTTCTTCTCTGGATGAAGCCTGGACATTTTTAATGTTATGTCTATGTTAGCCAAGAATCTTATAACAAACTTCTTTTTTGCAGCCAACATGACATTGTTCGATGCTTCAGCTCCAGTAGCACCAAACACCACTAACATTTCTCTGGTAAGTGGGTTTGCTTGCTCTATGGGGAAGATTGGGGTATGGGAGCAGGGGAGCTCATCCAAGGGACTGTTGTACCCAGGGAATGGTGCATGTTGCCTTGGAGTGAATTCTGGGGAAATACAGGCTTTACATTAATTGGGGTTCATGGTTTGGATCAGCAGCACCAAATCCCCACCTTTTTGCCCAAATTATTAGCAGCTCTGGGGTTTTCCCATGATTACAGGGCTGGAGTGGTTTCCAGCTGCAGCAGCACACTGAAGCCCCCTTTTCCTTGCATGCTGCAATTGCTTAACATGCTAATTTTGCTTTTTTTTTTTGGGGGGGGGGGTCTCCCCAGTACAATACTATTAACCTAACAGCTCTGGATTGGACTCAGCTGAGTAAGAAGGAGTGTCTCAAGTACGGTGGCAGCTTAGTGGGGAAATCCTGTAAATTTGTGCCTGATCTGGCCCTCATGTCCTTCATCCTCTTCTTCGGGACCTACTCCATGACATTGACACTGAAGAAATTCAAATTCAGCCGCTACTTCCCCACCAAGGTAAGAAAAGAAATAGCTCTGCAGGATCTTGCCCCATTTTTTTTTTCCAAAGGTAGGAAAAAGGGGAACTGCTGGTGTCATTCCTGGATGCAAGAAGCTATGGGAAAATAAATCCGTATTTCTATTTTCAGTAAGGTGATTTGCTGGAAAAGGAGATGTTAATATCAATTAGGATAATCCTATCTGAACACTGAGACACTGCTTTCTCTCTTGCATTCTGTATAAACTATCACAGTGCAATGCAAAGGGAAAAAAATGCTTTTTGTGCGTTATGCCCACCTGTGTGCAGAACTGGAAACCCGAGGGGAATTATGCAGATGCAGGAGCAAATACCTCCATCCCATTAATCACCCTTTCCACCCCCATTTCCCATCTACCTCCAGGTCAGGGCCTTCATTGCTGATTTTTCCAATGTCTTCTCCATCCTGCTGTTCTGTGGTGTGGATGCCTGTTTTGGACTGGACACCCCAAAGCTGCATATTCCCAGTATCATCAAGGTTTGGCCACACTGGGAGGGGCCTTGCCTCTCCACTGCACTCTCTTCCAGATCCTCAGTGGTTTGGGGGAAAATTGAGTTCCCTTCTCCCTTTTGGGGGAAAATGTGGTGTCTGGGATCCTTCTGAAACACTGCTTTGCCTTTTCTGGAGGAATATTCTAATTCTGTGACTTTTCTTCCTTTCCTTTCCTTTCTTTCTATTCCCCCCCCCTTTCTCTTTTTTTCCTATCTTTCACTCCTGGCAGCTGCGTAAGCTTATTAGTGATTTCTCTATCTTTATGTCCATACTAATGTTTGTGGGGCTGGATGTGCTTTTTGGACTGAACACCCCAAAGCTCCAAGTGCCTACTGACTTTAAGGTAAAAAGCAATAAATCCCTTTCTGGAGGTGTTGCTGAAAACATCTCTTCCCCAACCTGGGATATCACTGTCATGACATGGGGAGTCCTTGCGGGAAGAGCTCAGTCCAAATGAGCATCTGGGGAAAATGGGGGGCTGAGGCACATGGCTGCTGGGGTGGTCGGGGTCCAGATGTGTGTTGATGGGGTGCAGGGATGAACATGGGATAAGATAATGCTCAGAGGGGATGGAATTTGGGGTGAAGTGGGGCTTCCTGAAATTTCAGGGATTGTGTTTCCTCCCCATCCCTGACTTGTGTTCGGATGCAGCATGCAAACTCCTCTCTACCCACAGCCCACTCGTGTGGACCGAGGGTGGTTCGTGTTTCCCTTTGGGAAGAACCCGTGGTGGGTATACCTTGCAAGTGCGCTGCCTGCCCTCCTCGTTACCATCCTCATCTTCATGGACCAGCAGATCACAGCTGTCATCGTCAACAGGAAGGAGCATAAGTTACGGGTGAGCCAGGACTCACCCCACACTCAGATTTACAGCATCATTTCAGGCAGCAGGTGCATCTTTGCAAGCACCTGCTTTTGGGGTGCAGATCTGGTGCTGCAGAGACTATTCCTTTTCTTTTCAGGCTGCATTTTTGGGGTGAGAAAGCCTCCAGGGCGTTAAACTCACTGAATGTTGTAGGTACTGGGCTGCACTAGAGTGATGCAGGATGTACTGCAGGATATGCAGGATTCACCAGGGCAACATGAGGTGCACCAGAGCAATATAGGGGGATGCAGGCTGCACTATGGGGCATGTGGGGTGCACGATGGCAATATAGGGTGTACCAGGGTGATGTGGGGTGCACTGCAGCAATGCAGGACAATGCCGGCTGCATCACGACTATGCAGGATGCACCAGCACAGGGTGCACAAGGATGATGCAGTATGCATGAGAGTAATGTAGGTGCAATGTGGGTGCACTGTGATGATGCAGGGTGCCACAGGGTGATGTAGATTACAGAATCACAGAATTTCTAGGTTGGAAGAGACCTCAAGATCATCGAGTCCAACCTCTGACCTAACGCTAACAGTCCCCACTAAACCATATCCCTAAGGTCTACATCTAAATGTCTTTTAAAGACCTCCAGGGATGGTGACTCCACCACTTCCCTGGGCAGCCCGTTCCAGTGCCTAACAACCCTTTCGGTAAAGAAGTTCTTCCTAAGATCCAATCTAAAACTCCCCTGGCGCAACGTAAGCCCATTCCCCCTCGTCCTGTCACCAGGCACGTGGGAGAACAGGCCAACCCCCACCTCACTACAGCCTCCTTTAAGGTACCTGTAGAGAGAGATAAGGTCGCCCCTGGATTATATCAGGGCAGAATGGGGTGTATCTGCATTCTGCTCTGCAGAAACACAGTTTGCTTCAGGGTGATGCAGGGTGCATGAGAACAATGCAGGGTGTACCATGGCAATGTGGGGTGCTCTGCAGCAATGCTGGGTGTACCAGGGTGGTGTGGGGGACACTGCAGCAATGTTGGTTGTTTCAAGGTGATGCAGTGAGTGCTGTGGTAATGTAGGGTGCTGAGGATAATTCATGAGAGCAGTGTGTAATACACAGTGGTGATGCTGGGCTCTTCAGGGAGAGTACTGAAGGTTGAAGGGTGCTGTAGAGGGAAATCTCTGCCTTGCTGGGCTCCATGGTGAATAGATGAAGCTCTTTGTGTTCCCCCCATCTACCCTCCTGACCCTTTTGGGCACTACATTGCAGAAAGCAGCAGGCTACCACCTGGACCTGTTCTGGGTTGGCATCCTCATGGCTGTGTGCTCCTTCATGGGGCTGCCCTGGTACGTGGCAGCCACTGTCATCTCCATCGCCCACATCGACAGCTTGAAGATGGAGACAGAGACCAGTGCCCCAGGGGAGCAGCCCCAGTTCCTGGGTGTCAGGTGAGGAAGGCTTGGCTGCACTCTTCCTTGGGGTGTGGTGGGGGATCCAGATGCAGCAGTGGGTATACCCAGCATGGCTTCATCCTGCCTCTCTCGCCACTCCAGGGAGCAGAGAGTGACAGGCATCATCGTATTTGTGCTGACAGGGATTTCCGTCTTCCTGGCCCCGATTCTGAAGGTAAAACATCCCCATTGCTCTGCAGATGTTTGGGGCAATTTTCTTTCCGTTGTATGGCCCCCAGCATTTGTCCCTATCCCCAACAGTAAGCTGCTACCTTTTCTGTTGTAAGTGTCATGTTTTTTCCATGTCCCTAGTACATCCCCATGCCAGTGCTGTATGGCGTCTTTCTGTACATGGGCGTTGCATCACTGAATGGCATCCAGGTAAGCACTTCTTCTCCTCTCTGGGCATGAAGGGGTTTCACATCTGGGCAGAAATGGGGATTTTTGACCTCAGAAGTTGCATTCATCCAAATCCCTCCATAAACTACCAAAAAGCCTCAAACTCCCATTTTGGGCACTAAAAGAGGGTTTATCTGGGTGACCAGGAGCCTGCACTGAGGGGAATGCAGCTGATAGCTAACAGCAGGCTTTATCCTGCCGCAGTTTTGGGACCGCTGCAAGCTCTTCCTCATGCCAGCCAAGCACCAGCCCGATTATGTCTTCCTTCGGCATGTGCCACTACGCCGCATCCACCTCTTCACTCTGGTGCAGATTGTCTGCCTGGCTGTGCTCTGGATCCTCAAATCCACCGTGGCTGCAATCATCTTCCCTGTCATGGTAAGGCTCTGCACAAAGCATCCTCCAGGCTGCTTTCACTTATGTTTTATTGACCAAAGAAACACACAACTTTCTGGATTTCCACATGCAGTCCCATTATTGCAACCCCATCAACAAGATTTTGAGATTTAAGCAAATTTTGGTGAGTGTGGCTGGTCCCATGATGATGTTCCACAGGTCCTAACTCATGTATCTCTCCCCTCCTAGATTTTAGCCTTGATCCTGGTGAGGCGACTGCTAGATTTTGTCTTCTCCCAACATGACCTGGCCTGGATTGACAACATCATCCCTGAGAAGGAAAAGAAGAAAGAGGATGACAAGAAGAAGAAGAAGAAAGGCAACAAAGGAGACAGCAGCAGTGATGAGGAGGTGTGTGTGGAATGGGTGGGGGACTGAATAGCACAGACACCCTGGGGTGCTGGACCCACGTAGGAGGGGAATGGTGCCACTGGAACAAACCTCCAGGTTCGGGAAGAATGTCTTTGACTTCTGGGGATATTTCTCTGTGCATATAGGACTGGCTGATTTAGGGGCTTTAAGTGATGCTATGGGGTTGACCAGCAGCTCTAGGAGATGCTCAAAGCACCTTGAAAGCTGAAAAATCATGGCAAAAATAAAAATTAATGAAAAGGCCACAGATCCCATAGAAGAGGCACCCATTATATGGTTACAAAGTCTCATTAGCCTGTGCAACCTCCTGCTGCAGGCTCTTTCCCTGGCAGAAGTGCTGTGGGTTGATTTGGGAAGAGGAAAGCAAAGCCTCCTCATCCTTATGCACTTCCTCAATCTCACACAGAGACTGGACACCTTTAGGTGCTCTGGGCAGACTTGGAGCCTGCCCAGGCTCCTCGGTGAGCTGCAGCTTCAAGCTGCAGCCCAAGCCTGTCTCTACCTTCACTGCTTCTACCCACTTTCTTCCCCAGTTCCCAGTTCCCTCAGTCATAAAGATCCCCATGGAGCCCCTTCCACCAGCACCCCAAAATGGGGGTCCCCATTGCCTCAGTCGTAAGTAAAGATCTCAGGGATCCTCTCTCGTCCTAACTGTTGCTTCCTAACTCTCAGCAATGGGGCCTGCGCAGCTGCCAATTGCACTAATCTGATAAACAAAACAGACACAGCCTGGATTCATCCTGCTGAAACTAGGGGGAGGGCTGGCTATAAGCTGTATTTAAAGCAGGGTTTATAGGATTCAGCACACTTGGTGATGATAAAATCTGTGTGGCTGAAAAGCCAGGACTCCTGCATCTCATCCCTGAGCTGAACCTAAGGGAGATATAAAAATAAAATAAATAAATAAAAAGATTTAGAAGGTTTTTGAGCCCCTAAAAGCAAGAGGCAAAGAGCTTGTGGCAGCGTTATTCAGGTTGCAAAAGGGCAGATACATGCAATTTGGCCCAACCTCTTTCCAAAAGCGTCATAAGTGACCTGGCACAAAGCTGGCCAGCCATGGAAAATTAAAATAAAATAAAATAAAATAAAATAAAATAAAATAAAATAAAATAAAATAAAATAAAATAAAATAAAATAAAATAAAATAAAATAAAATAAAATAAAAGAGTAAATCTGGGTGAGTTTATTCCAGCTTGGCACCAGATTGCATCATGATGTCAGCAATTTTTAACGTGCTAATTAATTTACTGTCCCCAAGCTGCTGCTTGCAGAATCTGGTGGTTTCTCTCTTTCTCTGATCACTCCCAAAATCAGCATTTCACAGGAGCTTTCTTTCCCTCCTACCACCTGAGGTCCACCAGACATGGTAGCAAGGTGGGGTGGGGGAGTGGCTTTCTGTGGGGTTCCTTCCTCATCTGGGAAGTGTTTCACCTCCATGTCCCCCCAGGAAAGAGGTCCTCCACCTGGAGCTTTGCGTTCTGATTCTTCCCCAAATGGTTCAGATCTGGATCGCAGGTAAGCACCAAATGGACTCCACCATTCACTCCCTTGCATGACCCCATCCCTACAGATCCCATACCCTTGGTGTGAAACATTTCTAGGTTTAGCAGTCAATGGTCCCAACTGGAAATCATTTTTGCCACTACCTTGAGCTAGTTGCCATTTTCTTTGTGCAACTTTGTTTTTTTTTGAAATAGCTGAATATATTTTCACAGCATCCCATGGTATTTTGGCTGCCTTCATTTGCAGGCCATGGCTATCATGTTTTTCAAAGCAGGTTGGTTGGGAGGGGAACCGGATAACATGTTCCAAACCTAGTGTGAGAGGGCGCATGACAATAAGATGCTACTGGGTAAAGCTGCAGAGATTTTTAGAATGAGATGTACAGATGAGTTCTGAAAGATTTGTGTAATTTTCCACCTACAGATTATACATACTAATTGCAAAAGATCAGTAACTGGTGATAGGAACCGAGGGAACAGGATGGAGCTGCAGTGGGGAGGTTCAGGCTGGGTGTTAGGTGAAAGTTCTTCACTGAGAGGGTGGTCAGGCACTGAAACTGGCTCCGCAGGGAAGTGGTCACTCCTGCCAGAGTTCAGGAAGTGTTTGGACAACTGTCTCAGAAATGTGGTTGGATTTTGTGTTCCTCTGTGGAACCAGAAGTTGGACTTGATGGTCCTTGTGGGTCCCTTCCAACTCGAGATATTCTATGATTCTATAATTTTTTAATGATTTTTTTTTCATGGCAGTAGCAGCATCTGGAGCCCTTTGCTGGGTTTTCTGGGGCATTAATCAGGTACCCATGCGAAATGCTTACCTCCCTATGTCTCCCTCTTCCTGGGCAGTATTACGCTTCACCTGAAGATTTCGTGTCCATCGTCTCCTGCATTTAACTACTCACGAAACCCGATTTGCGCTGTGCCCCAGGTGAAGATAGAGATGGAATCAGACTACGAGGACACCGACACTGAAAAGCCACCTCGGGACATGGGCAGTGAGACCACACTATAGTTCCGTGCAGTGCTTCTTCTAATTTATATATAATATATATATATAAAGCTAATTGGACATATTTTTCTATGTGACACTGAGGACGTGGTGGCCCCAGAGGCCCATTGCTCCAGTAGCGTTTAGTGTAATGCTCTTGAATTTCCTCCCTTTCTGCTGGGTGAATGCATCACTGCTGGTAGCAGAATGTGCTGGTGGCAGAATAACCCCCACTGCTGGGGCTAGAAATGTGGAGTTGGCATATTTGGCCTCCACTTGCCCTAGAACTGCTGCTGGAATGGAGAAGTCAAAGGCAGTCAGGGCCATGGATGTCAGGGAACAGTTGGCTGCATGCATGGCCTATGGAGCAGGGGACTGTGCTGGGGTAAACCTTTCAAGGGGGATTTTGGGGTGGGGAGGAGGTTTGCCTGCCTGAGAAGTGGGAGTATGCATCCCAGCTGCCCCTGCCCTGAAATCACAGGTGACTCCTGCAGAATCTGGCTTGGCAAAGGGAGCAGTGCATTTCCCGTGAGCAGCCTCAGGCTTTGAGTTTGCAGGATGCAAACAAAAGCAGTCTGACCCCTTGCAGTGGGAGTCCCCTCTTGCAGCCCAGCCATGCTGCAGCTTCCCAGCAACCCAATCAGGGTCTCTCTGCTTCAGCAGGTGGGATTCTCCTGCCCCAGGGGGACTCAGCTGTGCTTGCCCCAGCATAGACATGTAAGTAGGTTAGGAGGATGCATTGCAGGCTAGCAAGGGTTGCAAAGTGGCAGTGCCCCAGGCACTGGCAGGAGGAGCAAAGGCTCTGGAGCAGGAGATCTTGAGGCCAAAGGCCATTGCTTCTTGCAGGTAACAACAGGCAGGCTGCGAGTGCCTGAGAGCAGCAGCAGAGCAGGGAACAGGGCATGATTTCTGCTGGCTGTCAGGCACTGCTGCTGCAGGCAGCGGGTCATGGTTTCTGCAGAGAACTGGAAATGGTTTCCGCAGGGAATCGAGCGGTTTCTGCAGCAGAGCCGTTAGGCAAGCATTGCCTTACCCACCCACACACCAACAGCCCTAGCAAAGCACAGTTTTCACAGAACCAATCTAGGATCCCCAGTGCTGTCTGGAAACCTAGGCTGATAACAGGGCTGGAGTAATAGCTGCATCCACGCAGAAGCCTGATGAGCTGGAGTATTATTTCTGCCCTTGCTTTTGCCACGGGCACACTGAAGGAGCCCATCCAGCCCCTGCACAAGGGACTTTGCACCTCCTTGAGCTCCTCAATTGTAATTATACCCAGGTGTTTTAACAGCTTGAAGCAGTGATGGGAGAGCAAGTACGTCCCTCACCCCATATCCCCACACACTTTGCACTTGCTTCCCCACCAGAGAGCAGGTCAGGAGCCACCTCTGGCACCAGGCAGTTCAGCTTGCCCAGCTCTCACTTTCTTCCAGCAGTGCTGGGGCATCAATGAGGCTTTCAAATGGCTTTCCTTCCCAGCATGCCTGCAGCCTATGGTTTAGAAAAACTAGTCTTGTTTGTCAACTTTCTCTCTGCTAGATGGATGTTTCTTGTGGTTTTAAGGTAGTACAAAGCTCCCCCTCATCTCCCAAGCAGGAACAGCCTACCAACTATTTATATGAATTCTGTGCTAAGGCCAGCCACAGAGGGGCTTCTGGGGCACTGGTTCAATATTGCAACTGATCTGAACCTTTGCATGGGACAGAGCCCAGTTCTTTGTAAATAGTCACTTCAAACAAAGAAATAAATGCAGTTTTCTGTTCATAGTATTTTTCTGGTTCAAGTATATCTTATGAGGAACCATGATGAGGTTAATAAAACAGTATTACTCCAGTGACCACTTAAGCAAGTGCCACTTAGCTTGATGATAACACTAAGAACTATTTCAGCTTGGATGCATTGTGTGTACTTTTTAGTGTTTTATACCAGTCTCCCATGTGGTAGCTAAAGCATGGTAGAGATAGGCCTTTGACTGCAATCACTCCACAGATAGTAAGTTTGCTTTAATCAGTATATCAGCACCTACTACACAGCACCGCTACCAGAGTCCACAAAGCCTTCATAGGCTTTTGTTTCATAGAGCACAGCTGAAGCCTAAGCACAGGTCCCTCTACAACACTTCTTGTTCCAACTAAATTTGTCCTTCTTGTAGGTCTTACAAATGGTTTATATTTTTTTGTTTTGCATATGGAAATACTGGATTGTCACAGATTTGCCATCCCCATTACAGCACTACTTTAGCCATTTTGTATTTATCAGTGATACAATCCAATAAATCTCATTTAAATTAGTCTCTGCTCTTAGTGTGTTCCTCATGCAATCTCAGTCATTGAACCTTCCCTCTCCAGGTGTTCCTTGTTTAGCATTGTTATAAACAGTCACTGCTCTTCCCTGGAGGGGAATGGGGAAAATGCATGGCTTGCAGTGACTCAACAGGTGGCTCTAGCATGGCAACAGACCTTCAGCTTCAGAAAAAAAGTTTCCCAGCACCCAGAAAGATAGAATCAGTCTTACCAAGGGTATGTGGCCAGATGCTGAAGAGGAAGAAGTCTAGACCCACCTCACCACCCCAGAACAATACTACACTCAAGTTTTTCCAAAGGTTAGATCATCAGAGCTTGCAAGCAAAAAGCAGAGGACTGTATGTTTACACTGTTACAATAAACATCAGCAACAGCTGATGGATTTGTTCACAACTAGAATCTAAAAGCTGAACAGGTTTTGTTCAGGCACGAACAAAATTAATTATGGATGTAGCACTTATGCCTTGGTCAAACACAGAGAAAACGCCAGACCCAGCCCTGCTCTGAAGGAACAAGAGAAGCTCACTGTACAAGTGTTTTAATTTGTCAGAGAAGTACAAAACTTGCTTAGAAGTAATTCTAGGAAACAAGTGGGGTTCCCTCCTTCTGTACTTTATTCAGATTTATCCTGGATTATTCACCAAGCACTGGAATCCTTTCACATTATAGTCCAGGAAGTTTACTGTGGGCCCAGTACAGTCACCAAAAGCACTCCACCCCAACCCCCTACACCCCACTGTTTTTCTTTGGTTAGAGAAAAAGGGTTTTTAAAAGTCACCATCCAAATAGAAAAAAAAAAAGCTTAGCTGCACACTAAGAACATTACAACAGATCTACCACTGTCTATGGCCCCAGCCAAGCTGAGAACAGATGTGGCTTTTTCAAGTAGACGGTTCTACAGAAGAGCTCAACTCAAACTAAGCATCTAGCATTGAGTAAAATACTTCAAAGCAGGTCAAAGGCAAGCAGTCTGGGCATTTGTAGTAACACACAAGTCATTACTTCTGCACTGTGAAGCCGCACACTCCACTTCCTCCAGGATTGCGCCAAGCTCCCTGGAGAACTGCACACCCAGCATCCCAACTGCTGCTCTGTCCCTGCAAGAACAGTGTAAGCTGCAGGGCTGACTTCTAAGAAGAGTGTTAGCTTAAAAAGCAGCTCTGCTAGAAGTTATATGCTGAATGAATAGGGCAGGAGTGTAGATGCTTGTGCCTTAGTATAACTAATGCACATATGCTTCAGCTTCAAATAAATATCTATGACCTCAAAATAGGAAATACCACTTCTGTACAATAAATAAAAATATTGCATTTTCTATCGGCCTGTCTGGGAGTCATTTTGGAATGTTGTTTTCAGTGCTAAAAACAGTCTTATGTTAAACAGTTAAGGCTTCCAGTGCTTTGGGTTTCAACAGCTTCTTGGCAGCAATGATGGTGTTCTTCATCAGCATGGCAACTGTCATGGGCCCAACTCCTCCAGGGACTGGAGTGATGTAACTAGCTTTCTTCTTCACCCCTGCAGAATGGGGAGAAGTTATAGTTTAGCATAAAAGTCAAGAGCAGTAAGACTTACCAAGCTGGCTGACTAGTATGAAGCTGTAATCAATCTAATATTGTTGAAGTTCCTCCAAGACTGCCAGCTAAGGACTACTAGTCTCAAGTTAATTATCCCATCCCTCCCCTCCCCATTACCCAAGGCAACACAGAGCATACCATAGCCTGACCATCTCCACTATTAAGCAAGCTTACCTTCATAGCCCAGGCTGGGGAAAAAAAGAAAGATCTAATAGCTAGGTTTATGCAACAAATCAAATCTGAAACCAGATACGGATGGGCCTGATGCATGCTCTTGCAAAGCTCTCCTATAAAGTAATAGTCTGAGTATTTGCCCTCTCTTCCAAAAGGACTTTCAAGTGCCTTTTGCAAGGTATATGGAGATGTGGAGCTCATCAGAACAGCCTGCCCGTGCACTGTTGCAACTAAGTGGTGAGCAAGGCCAGTAAACAGCAAGCCAAAAGTTAAGTTCCATGTGTTTTCATAAGGTAAAATTTAAAAGCAGGAACATGGGCTATAAATTTCAGTAGAGACAAAGGAGACCAACTGTCCAGGATGAATCTCTTCTGCATTGCAATATACAGTGTTTCCATACCATATTACAGGAAAGTTCGTCCCTTGTACACTGAATGCACAAGCAAGAGAGCTTTAGGATGGGTCAGCATTTGCCCCACTACATGAACCAGGACTTCCTCACCCCTTCTCAGCATGCTAAGAAGTTTAATGATGAGTTTAAGCATGAGTTTAATGCTCAAAGTATGAGATGCCATAGTCTTTTATACCTTCAAAATCCACATCCCCAACCAGCCTTGGTTTGGCAGTGATGGGGTCCTGCACTCTAGTTATCCCCACATCAATAACTGCAGCTCCTTCTTTGATCATATCAGCTGTGATCAGGTTGGGAATGCCTGTAAGAGAACAGAACCACATGCTTATAGTGGTGCTAAACAGTCCCATTCCTCCTCAACCCCACCTTCACACCGCCCAGCCCTGTAGGTTTTGACCCACCCAGGCCTTCTTGCCTCACAAATAAAAATCTAGCCACAGTTGCAAAATCCAGTGCCACTCCTTGAGAGGTTCATCTCACCCAGAAATCAAGGATTTGTTCACTTATAGTCTCAGTATAAAGGACTAGAATCCATCCCCAAGAAAGAAGTCTGGCAAAGAATTTGGAACACCCCTTTCAATGTGGGGTGTTTGTCTGGTTCTACCACATACTGCATCAGCTGAAGAACTCATCCTACCTTCCACTTAAAACTTAACTGTTTCATGTGATCTTTTCTCTGGTTTACTGACCACCTTTGACTATGAACATGCCTTTTCTGCCAGCAGCATTTCTGCTTTTATGCAACACTACCTTCAAACATCAGTTCAAATCCTTCCAGTACTTCATCTCTCTTCCTACCCAATTTCTAACTCACATTTCTCTCCTTTCCCACAAGCTTACAGCAAGCTTCAGCTGCCAAGCATCAACACCCAAGTCAACTTTTCTGTTGATGAGCTACCCCCCATGCCAAGGGGATAGCTCAAGACCCCACTTCCAACCTGGAGTACATCTACTTGTAGCTGTTCTTTAGGTCTGATCAAGTGCTTGCTGGCACACAAAGCCCTCCTGACAGATGTCATTTTGCATTTCAAAGGGCCACAAACAGCTCTGCTAGACTCTCCTAGGCTTAATCACAGGATACACTGGCTGGCTCAAACAGCCAGCCCTTGCCTACAGCAGCTGCCAGCAGCCATAAGAATACCAAATTATCCTTGTGCTGCCAGAGATGCCTCAGATAGGGAGGCCCTGGAACATATACCAACAGAACTGTCTCCAGCAAGAAAAGATTCCCATCAGAAACATCACACAAGCTGCAGTGCAGCATCTTCTGTGCATCTCACCTGTACTGAGAGTTCAGTCTTACCTGCTGCTGCTACCACAATGTCAGCACGGATCGTGTGTTGCTTCAGCTGCTCCTTTGGAGTGTAGCGGTGTGATATTGTTACTGTGGCATCACCTGCAAAAGGGGTTACGTAAAGCCTTTTACCCATAAGTGTACCTAAACCTGTCAAACTTCTAACTCTTCACCTTTGAGGACACCTGTGAAGGTAGCAAGAATACAGAAGCCTGAGGACAAACCACTGGGAGTAGCCTACAAAGGCAGAGGGAGAGGTCTTGTATGGAAAAAGACAAGGACTAACTGAAGAAGGCTCTGAAGCATTACAAGACTGCCTATGTGCAGTTAACTCTCCAGCCTCAACCACAGCCCACATGATGTCATAGTCCCTGAGACAGGCCTAGGACCTGTTTAAAAGCCTAACAAAGACTGTGGCATAGGCAAAGGGCTTCTTCCCACAACTGCCTGGTGCACAGGCTCCAAGACCAGCAAGCTCCTACCTCCTGGGCGCTCATGCCTGCCATCTGTATGCAGCAACATGGCTATGGGCATTCCCACATTCTTTGACCGGCCAGCTACCACCACATTCTTCCCCAGTGTCGGAATGCCTGCAGTAGACATGAGAGTCTTAAGACAAATACAAGCTGGAGTTGTGCCATACAGCAGCCAAATACTGCAACAGCTTACCAGTTCTCTTAATGATCTCCCACACACCCCATGGGGTAGCTGGCAGCATGGAATACTGGTCAAGGCACATGCGCCCCACATTTATTACATGAAAGCCATCAACATCTTTGTCTGGAGTCACAGCATTGCAAATCTTTCGCTCATCAATGTGTTCTGGAAAAGATAAAAGCTTTAGCACTAGGGAACAGACAAAAAAATAATTCATTTTGCAGTCAACCAGAAGCCAGGCTCACTGCACTAGCCCCTCAACCCCTTCAAAGTTTGTAAGCTTGAATTTATTCAAAGCCTCCAGTGAGCTCAAGGCTAAGAACTCCCAGCAGAAGGGGACTGGAACCACTTGGGAACTACAGTGTCGCTAATGCAGAGTGTATTTTTAGACTGCCTCAGTATCACAACCAAATTTAAGCTCCCGGCTTAGAAAGCTGATACTCCTCACACAAGAATAGATTTCCATGACCCCCATCAACTCAACTCATATAGGCAGCAGTATGATGAAGTAGTAAGATCAATTTCTTTAAGCTACATCAGCGTGCCACATTTCATGTGGCAAAAGAACTCCTGAGCTATACCTCCTTATGGCACATAAACTCTTAGAAATCTTTATATAAAAATGAAACAGATTGATATCCAGCTACTCACCAGGTAAAGGAAGCTGCACTAACAGGCCATCCACGTTGGCATCATTATTTAGTTTACCAATCAAATCCAGTAGTTCTTCCTCAGTAATTGAGGCTGGCTTGAGAATCGTCTCACTGCTGATTCCTGTGCAGTCATTGAGAGTGCCGCATTAGACAGCAGCATATATACAAGTGTGAAGCAATTTTCCTAATCCATGCTGATTTAAACTGTCTAGTTTCATTTCTGCACAAAACCCAATATGGATACACCAAGGATTTCATGCTTCATACAACAATGAACACCTTCCAGGTTGTAGATCTACACAAGTCTTGCAAGTTATGATTAAGGACCATTAGTCTGTGTAGTCATTCCTGGGAAAGCCTGCTGAAACCAGAGGCCTTCCAAAAGTGCATGGAGGGCTTGGAGAAACTAAATGCGAATGTGTTATGGTGTCATGCAACTGCACCTCCTGTAGACCCTCTTCACCACAGTAAGAAGGGGATGTTGGCCTAAAATGTCAGTTCCAAATAAGGCTTCAGCAGCACAGAACTCAGTAAGAAATTACACCACTGTGTGCCCTGGACCCCCTTCAGCACACTTCTCCAGAAGTACACTCAGGAAATCTTTGGCTGAACACTAAATTGGACCTTGGCTTGCAAGACTCTGCTCAATGTGATTGCAGCTTGGATAGTTAATTTAAAAAGGCAAATCAAAGCCTTGCCAGTGTTTTACACAGGCCTGCAAAGATTGCAAATCCAAACTGTATAGCTTGATGTTGACCTAGAGGATTCAAGTGGCATAATACTTTCAAACTATGCCTATTAACTACATCTCAGCACTACTATGAATGCAGCCAAAGTTTTGCCATAAGCCTAGACAGCAATGCAGCTGAGGTGAAAAGCAGCCACGTGGATGCATCCTAAGAGCTTCCACAGTTTCCAGCATAGAGGACTCCCCTCAGCCAATGAAACAGGAAGCAGTTACTTTGCTCCAGTTTCAGAGCAGAGCGCAAGACTTACCAACATCAGCAGCTGCTTTGGTTTTGTTCAATACATAGGAGTGACTTGCAGGATTTTCACCGACTAGAACAACACTGAGGTGAGGTCTCTTGTTTCCAGCTGCTACCCACTGTTCAACCTCATGACGGGCTTCCTGTCTGATCTGTCGGGCCAGCTTCCTTCCAGAAATCACAACTGCATCATCTCTGCAGTGGAAAAAGTGTTACCAAAGCAGTCAGCATTGTTAGGAACATCAAATCCAACCTTTGTGCAACACTAGCACAAGAAACAGGTGCTAACCACAAAGCAGGACAGAACTGTCTCTCATCTGAGCCAAGTACAAGCCTTTATTACAAACCTTTTTTTTTTTTTCCTGCAAGTTGTGTTACGCAGCATATTTCAGTCTTAATGCTTTGGGCAGTAGAGCTGGAAACTTAAAAAGCAAAACTACTGGAGGGACAGAGGGTTTTTTTTTGTGAAGCCTAAGAAACTATACACTCTGCTTCTCTGCAAGACTGGGGGTACACATGTATCGTTCGCATTTTAGCTTGAAGCATGGGCTATATGATTAGCCTCCACTTTTCAAAAGTCAGTCACCCTTCCCTTTCAAAGGCATAAGTTTCACTACAAATGACTTACATGAGGAGGCAGAACTCATTCCACTTAAGTGGAATTTCCACTACAGAAGTTACCAAGCAATTCTGGCATGTCTGACACAAGCAAAGAAGGGTGTCATACTGCTGCACCAAGTGCAGTTCTTAGAGAGCCCGGTCACCCATAGATTTCTCAGGAATACCACCATTCCACCTCGCATACACCTGGCACATGCCCTAACCTGCTCAACTAATTGCTGCCACCACTCCAGTCAACTCTTTAGATTGTGAGAACTGGGTTGGGTACTCAATTCCAGTCCCTTCAAAAGACTACAGTGCTTATCTGGAGTTGAGGGGATAGCTGTCTACTTGAACCATGTCAGAACAGGTCCTCACATACTTCTCTGGTCTAAATTTGTAGGAAGAATATAGAGTCTCTGTCAAATGCATTCCAGGCAACTGGATACCCTGCAGCATATAGAAAGGCTGGCACAGATTACAACTAATGAGGCCACAGCTGCCAGCCCCAATCAGCACAGCCTGTGCACACTGCTCACATTTGTTTTTTACTTCAGGTTATGGCTATCACTCACATTAGAATGCAACTCTCACTCACTAGTCCCTCTGTGAGGCATTGACCTACCCAAGATTCACTTTTAGACTTCACTGCAGTGCCTTCCTGCAAGGCCTCACGACGAGTTCTTCACTCGCTTACCCAAGTATTTACCCAAGCACTCTGCTCCTCTGTCAGGCCCCTCACACAGAGCAGGGGGAGCTGCTCCCCAGCATCACTCCGCAGGCATCGCCCACAGCCAGGACCTGCCCATTTCTGAGGCAATCAGCAAGCAAGATGCACCACCACCAACTCGCCAAGGAAACCCAGGAGACAACCGTCCCTCAGAAGGCAGCCTGAGAGCTTTCCCCTCCCACAGCCCAACAGGCACAGGGCGTGCTGCTGCACTCCTCCTCCCCAGAACTGAGCAGCCCCCGCTACCTGACGCACAGACCTCCTCCTCCTCCTCCTCCTCCCCGAGTCCCACGAGCCCAGCACTGCTTCGTGAGGGGTCTCCGTGCTCCAGACACGGTTGCAGCAAAGGGGAGCCCCCACCGGAGCTGCTCCAGGCCCAGAGCAACGCGGAGCAGGGGCACGGGAGAGCCTCACACCCCAGCGCCAAGCTGGGGCGGCGTGCGGCGCTCCCTCCTTTCCTAGGCTCCGACCCGTTCAAGCACGGGGCTCCCTCGGCACGCTGACCGCTCCGCACCTCACCCTAACAGCGGGCACCCCCAGCCGAGCCCCCCCGGGGCACACCCGCTGCCGCAGCCCCGCCACGCAAGGCGGCAGCGGGATTTCATCAGCCTGCAGCGCCCGGCGCGGCCGCTGGGGACCCGCCTCACGCCTCCCTCGTCGCCGGCAGCGCCGACCCCGCGGCCGGGCCCTACCTGTGCGCGCTGAGGTGCAGGCGGCGGCCGCAGGGGGGCCGCAGCGCGACCCGGCCGAGGGCGCGGAGCGGGCACAGCGCGGGGGCCATGGCGGCACCTGAGGAGAGGCGCCCCCGCCCGCCCCGCCCGCCCCCTTATAGCGCGCCGAGGGCCCGCCCCCGCTCGGGGCTGGGTCTCGCGAGAGCTGCGGGGCAGGGCTGCGGCGGGAGCGGCGCCGCTTCGCCTCGGGCCGCTCGCCATGAGCTTCCTCTTGTGAGGGCCGGGCCGCGGGGGGCTGCGGGGAGGGGGCGCGGGGCGGGCGGGGAGGGGAGGCGGGGAGCTGGCGGCGGGGGCCTGGTGAGGGGCTGGGGGAGCGCGGCGGCGGGCGGGGGAAGCCTCGGGGCAGGCGGCGGGCGGACTCGCGGCTCTGTTCGGTGCGGGGAGGTGTCGGTTACCGGCTGCAGGGCTGTGGTGTGAGTGCTCCCAAAGGGTTTCAGCTTTGGAAGCCCGGTGGGCGTGACGGAGGGATCGGGGTCGTTTTGTGGCGTGGGGAGGGGCCGGGCGCCTTCTTTCTGGGGTCGGCAGTGTGCTGGGACTGTGTTTCGGGGCTGTGCCTGTGGTCAGCAAGGTGCTGGGGCTGTGTTGTCTGCCTGTGGTGTGACAGGAGGCGGTGGCTCGGCTGAAGAATGAGCTGGGTTGAAGGGGCTTTTATTTCCGCCCAGAACGCTGCATGTAAGCAGTGTGCAAAGCCATCAGGCCGTGCAGTAATGCTGAACCAGGAAGCTGGGGTGAAGGGGGTGCGAGCCAAGCACGGCTGGTTGTGTACAACGAGGGGAGGCAGCAGCCCAGTGATGAAGCGTATGGGCCCTCCTTGAGGCTTCGGCTTGCACCACCCTAAGTCAGAAGCAGAGTTGGCAAAGGCTGAGAACAGGACACTGTGGGCTCTGCTCGGTCTGAAAGTTAACATTTTGTGGTTTGGAGGCATAGAAATTCCTTCCGCTCTTGGCAGTATCAGCTTTTGAGCATGGGTCTAAAGCCAGTACTCAGTTCAATGACCTGTGTCCCTCTGAGCACCCTGCAGAGAGCAGCTTTGGCACTGTTGTAGGGGCATGGAGTTGTGCAGTGGCACAGGTGTTGCAGAACACAAGAGACAATTGCAACTGCTACGGTAATTTGTGTTTTAGGGCTGGAGTCTGTTAAATTGGTATTTTGAGCAGATTGTTTCTACAGTGTGTCTGAGTGTCTTGTCTTTGCCCTGTCAAACTTGACCCAGCCACCTGGTGGTTTTGTTTCCTGGTTCCTGGGTCACTCTGAATGCAACTGTTGCTGATCAGTTTTTAGGCCTTTGCACCAAATGTTTATTACATGTAAAAAGGGAAGTGTGCACACTGCTGTTGGAAACACTTTGGCCTGAGCATATGATATGTTCACCCTGGTAGGGGGATGGGAGGGCTAAACAGCTGGTGTTACCACAGCTAAAAGTGCCAAATGGCAAGGAGTAAGTCAGCTGTATCAGGAGGGAAATATTTCTTAGGAGGGATTGCAGCTGACAGATTAACTAGAAATGTTTCTCTTTTGTCAGTGGGAGTCGATCTTCGAAAACATTCAAACCCAAGAAGAATATTCCTGAAGGCTCCCATCAGTATGAACTCTTGAAACATGCAGAAGCCACCCTGGGGAGTGGTAACCTTAGGCAAGCAGTTATGCTGCCAGAGGGAGAGGACCTTAATGAGTGGATCGCAGTTAACAGTAAGTCCTATGAAAAAGCAGTCCATCCATGTGTGGAGGTGAAGTGGGAGGAATACAAATGTCTGGGTTTCATCCTTAAGAGAAAACAAACAAACAAACAAAATTAATAATAATAATAATAAACACAGATGAAGTTCACATCCTGGCTAGATTCTGTTTAACTAGGTAGGGATAAAAGGAAAGTAAGTTGAGTGTCAAAGGGGTTTTGTGCTCTGGAAGCAAGCAAAAATCAAGAAACAAATACATACTATTGCGTTTTTGGGGTGCATTTTCTTCAAGTTCCAACTTGTAAAGATGATTAGGTTTGTGAAAGGTTATTTTTAGAATTAGGAGTAAGCCTTGATTTTGGAATTATAAAACCAGTAGTTAGTGCTGTTAGCTGCAAAAACTGACAGTAAACAGCTTGGGTAAAAAATGGAACTGTGTTCTTCAACCATATTCTCCAGGTTTGTGTTGGTAACTTAGGAGTTGTATTTTCTTTCTTAAAAAGGTGGCTGGGAACTAAAGCAGTTATTTCAAAGTTACAGGAAGTTAGGAGGTTATGTACAGCTTAATGCCATACAAATAAGTTAGGGGCAGTAGCCAGAAATTAAAAAAAAAAAAAAGATTAAAAAAAAAAAAAAGATCAAAGCTGACTGGGAGATTCATGTTCCTAGATGGTCAAAGGGTCTTGAAGTCAGCCACATAATGGTGTGTTTGCTTTTGTGGAGAGCTTCGCAGTATGTTCACCCCCTGTGATGGTGATCCTCAGAGGCAATGTCAGCTGAATGGAAGCAAATTGGTGCTGCAGTCTGCTTTGTTTGCATTTTGGGTAAAATTGATACTTTTTCATTTACAGCGGTGGATTTCTTCAACCAAATCAATATGCTCTATGGGACCATCACAGAGTTTTGCACAGAGGCCAGCTGTCCGGTCATGTCTGCTGGACCAAGGTAAGAAGTTTATGGCAGTCTACAGCTGCAATTTATGTGTTGGGGAAGTGGATGGATGTTCAGGTCACTTAAGTGTGTCGAGAAAAACTAAAAAAGGGAATCAGATGTGTCTGGATGGTGTTGGGGCACAGCATCATGCTCCTGTAGAGTCACTCACCTGCATGCGAAGCGATGTGGTCCATTAGGGAAGCCACATGGTATCAGTAGCAGATTTATTTTAAGGAAAATAAGAGATGTAACTTCGAAGTGGCAGATCTTTCTGTTCAAGTCATCTCTCAATCTGTTGTCTCAGAGCAAGTGCTCCAAGAGGTCATTGCTTGTTTTTTTCTGAGTGAAAGTGATTGAAGAAGATTGAAAGGTTGAAGAAGAGTATATATGATGGTTCTGAACTTAAGTACTTTGAGTTGATGCAACTTTCTGGATAGGCTGCACCGATGGGCTGAGGTCAACTGTATGAAGTTTAACAAGGCCAAGTGCCGGGTCCTGCACCTGGGGCGCAATAACCCCAAGAAGAGCTACAGGCTGGGAGAGGAATGGCTGGAGAGCTGCCAGGCAGAGAAGGACCTGGGAGTGATGGTGGACAGTCGGCTGAATATGAGCCAGCAGTGTGCTCAGGTGGCCAAGAAGGCCAACAGCATCCTGGCTTGTATCAGAAACACTGTGACCAGCAGGGCTAGGGAGGTGATCGTCCCCCTGTACTCGGCTCTGGTGAGGCCGCACCTCGAGTACTGTGTTCAGTTCTGGGCCCCTCGCTACAAGAAGGACATCGAGGTGCTTGAGCGGGTCCAGAGAAGGGCGACGAAGCTGGTGAGGGGCCTGGAGAGCAAGTCCTATGAGGAGCGGCTGAAGGAGCTGGGCTTGTTCAGCCTAGAGAAAAGGAGGCTCAGGGGTGACCTTATCACTCTGTATAAGTATATTAAAGGAGGCTCTAGCGAGATGGGGGTTGGCCTGTTCTCCCATGTGCCTGGTGACAGGACGAGGGGGAATGGGCTAAAGTTGCGCCAGGGGAGTTTTAGGTTAGATGTTAGGAAGAATTTCTTTACTGAAAGGGTTGTTAGACATTGGAACAGGCTGCCCAGGGAGGTGGTTGAGTCACCATCCCTGGAAGCCTTCAAAAGACGTTTAGATGTAGAACTTAGGGATATGGTTTAGTGGGGACTGTTAGTGTTAGGTCAGAGGTTGGACTCGATGATCTTGAGGTCTCTTCCAACCTAGAGATTCTGTGTGATTCTGTGATTCTGTGAACAGCGTATCATGTTGGTAAGGTTGGTTGAGGCTTGTTATTTGGGACAGCAGCATGGAGTCTGGCTGTTGAGCAGTATTTGTAGGGTGCTGTGTAAAGTCCTGCCCTGCTTTTCTAACCAGAATTATTTAGATCATAAGTTCCTGTTTCTATATTTGGGGATATTTCCTGTAACGACTTCCTGTTTAAAGTGCAGTGTTCATTTTCACTTGTTGGTGGTTGAGACATGACAATTGAAACATGTTTTTTTTTCCCTACTGTACAATTTTGCAGAAGATCTCTGAGAAGGGAGAGTTCCGTGCTACATAGTGTTCTGATAGAAATGTGCCCCTGTTCTGAGGAGCTGTGGATTTATAAGCATGTGTCACTTTGAGATGGTGGCTTTTAAAAGCTTTTGGCTGACATATGGCCTCAGGATGGGGTCTTGGCTGTCTCATGTGTTGGTGTGCATCTCCCCGAGGGAGTGCTGAATTCTCCGTTGATGTCTGAAAACTATATGATTCTATATGTAGTAACTTGAGCACTGGGGTTTGGCCCCATCACATGCCCCATTTAAAGGAATGCTGATGTTGAAAGAGGTTGATACACAGTTGAACATCACTTGTGAGGGTTGCTGCAGAGTGCTTCTTTTGCAGAGCACACCTTACCAAGATAAGGAGGAAGCTGCAGTGCCTCATTGCCAGAGTAGCCACAACGCAATGAAAATGTATTTCTTTTACTCATATAGCAAAGATTATTTTTTTTTCGGTCTCCCAACAGATATGAGTACCATTGGGCAGACGGCACCAACATAAAGAAGCCAATTAAGTGCTCAGCTCCAAAGTACATTGATTACTTGATGACATGGGTTCAGGACCAGCTGGATGACGAAACCCTCTTCCCTTCAAAGATTGGTAATTGCAACTGTTGCATGATGCAACGTGCCTTGTATATAGGACTGAACCACAGTGCCACCGGAAGATCTCTTTTTTACTTCTTAACAAACTGAAACTTATCCCCGCATATTGGTGGTTTTCAGGCGTCCCTTTTCCCAAGAACTTCATGTCAGTGGCCAAGACCATCCTGAAACGGCTATTCCGCGTGTACGCCCACATTTACCACCAGCACTTTGATTCTGTCATGCGGCTGCAGGAGGAGGCCCACCTCAACACCTCTTTCAAGCACTTTATCTTCTTTGTGCAGGTAAGTTGCAGAACAATTGGTCACGTGCCTCCACCAGGGTTTCTTGTTTCCTGATTTGCTTTTAAAGGGAGTTGGATTTTAAGACCCTACTTGCTCTTTGAAGGTCTACAACAGCATTGTGATGGAACACAGCTCAGCTCTCACCCTCTTTACCATGTGAACCATACAGCAGTGTCATCTGGGGCTTGTTTTGATTTTTGTGCAAGATGGCTATAAAGGCTTCGATTTCCCTCTCTAATTTTAAGCTCACAAAGGGTCCGGACTTCAAAGAGAACTTGGGGTTTTGTAGCTCAGGAACCGACTCTGAGGTAGCAGCAGTACCTTTTTCACGTTGCCCATTATTTAACAGCCTGTAACTGTGGGTGACTCATTGTGCTGAGCAGCCTCAACAGTGCAACATGGTTTGCCCAAAACACTTGAATCTCTGCAGAGAAATGGGAGAGATGGCTGCAGTAACGTCTGCATGGGAATTTATGCCAGCACGCATTTATGCAGCTGGTTCCCAGTGCATGTGTGCTGGCTGCACCTGGAGCCTTGTGTTTTCTAGTGGCTCTTTCAGCAGTGTGTTTAGTTCTTGTGATGCTTTTTCTTGCCAGGAATTTAACTTGATCGACAGGCGGGAGTTGGCTCCACTGCAGGAACTGATTGAGAAGCTAGGCTCCAAAGACAGATAAACTTTCCCCAGGAGGACCCCATTCAGTTTCTGGTTGTGGCTGTTCCTTTCTGCTTTGTACACCAGCCGTTCTCCCTTTCCCCTTCACCAGTGCAAGCCTCAAGAAGCTGGATGATGTGCTGGCTGGCATCGCCTCACCTCAGTCTTGCAGGCCTTTGGCAAAACAGTGCTTGTACTGCACAGTGGCAGCCTGCATTGCTTTATAACTGGTGGCTGAGCTGTGGTGACTAGTGCTGCTTCGTATGTTTTTTTCTAAGCTATGTACTCAAGTCTGGCAAGAATTGCAGTCTGGGGCTGACACAGAGCTTGTAGCAGGTTGCTTTGTTTCCCACAGGCATGGGTGAAGTTCCAAAGTGCCACACTGCTGTTTTCAGTGCTGGAGCAATTTCACTCTGGATCCCATGGATACAGAACCTGGCCTACAAGCAGCCAGCCTGGGCGCTATAACCAGCACATGCTTCCCTTGGGAAAGAGCAGCAGTGGCACACCTTATTTTTGGAAGTGCTTTTTTTGGATTTAGATGCACTTTGGCCAAGAGCCTTAAGCTCCGCCCATGGCAGCATTGGGGGGAGGAGGAAAAAAGTGCCTGTCAAGGGGAGCCTCTCCCCTTGGTGTGCAGAGCAGCTTTTTTGTCCCCAGCTGGGGGGGGGGGGAGGGGGGAGAGGGGAGGGAACACAACACAGAGGGAATGGCAGGGACCATGTGTGGCAAGGCAATAAAGTTTCTTCTTCCTGCTCTCTTTTTTAATGGATGTCTTGTCCTTGTTCCATGCACTGGTGCCCTCACAGCCCCCACGTGTTCCAGTTGAAAACAAACAACCCTAAGAACATTTTCCCTTGAAGGGAGTCCCCCTGGCTGGTGGCTGCAGCAGCATCCTGCTTCTGCCCCCCAGTTCTGGCTGGTCCAGAGCCTCTTCACACACACAGTCTCCAGCATCTTTATTGACCGGGCCATTCCCGGCAGCTGCACAAGTCCCCTCACATTCCCCCCCTTCCCATCACAGAGCTCAGCCCAGTATCAGGGCTTGGGGGTGGAGGTGAAGATGCGCAGTCCATGCATGTTCTTGATCTCTTCACGCAGTGCCTGCAAGAGACGAACACAAATACTAAGTCCCACTTCAAGGTAAAAGTGGGTGGCTTTAAAGCACCGAGTGCTGAAGTGGAGCTCTTAATTAAGTGCTGTATGCATGTAGTGCTCAAGTGCAAATGCAGCGTGTGCTGTGTCAACTGCAAGTGCTGTGCGTGCAAGCAGACTGCATGCAGTGCTGCAACATACACACACAAGCAGGATGCAAAACTAAGCAGAGACAAATGCTGCATGCCCAGGCCATGCAGACGTGGTGCTGCAGGAGCGTGCACGTGCCAACCACTGCTGTGTGCATGCCGCTGCTCGGCTGCGCGTGGGTCTGCAGCTCGGGCGCCGTGCACCGGCTGCTGCAGCCCGCAGCCCTCACCTGGTTAACCATCTGGTGCTGCTGCACCATCCGCTTCTCCCTGAACTCCTCCGACTCGACGTGGACCTCGTACATAGCGCCGCATCCTCCTGCAAGGAAGCGCAGCCCCGCGGTGCGGCCCCCGGCAGAGCGCTGCCGCCAGCCCCCCCCCCAGGCCAAGAGGCCCCCGGCAACCGCCGCGGCCGGGCCGGGCTCAGCCCCGCGGCGGCGGAGCGCACAGCACGGCGCGGGGGGGTTGAAGGGGAGCGGGTGGGTTACCGGAGATGTCCACCACCCTGATGGCGGAGGCGCGGGGGAACTTCTCCCGCAGGACGCGGGTCACTCGGGCCTCCCCGTCCGTCCGGGAGGTGAAGCTTCGCCAAGGGCCGCACCGCAGAACGAGCTGGGGCGGGGAGAGGAGAGGAGAGGGGGGGGGCGCAAAACAAACCGAGCTGTGACACCGCTCCGCGGGGCCGCTCCCCGCGGCACGGCCCGGGGCGGCCGCGCCACTCACCGGCCCGCGGAGCCGCAGCCCCGCCGCGGCGGCCATCTCGGGCCCGTGGCGGCCTCGGGGACGGGCGGGGAAGGGCTCGGCGCGAGGCCGCGGCCGCCTCGCTTCGCCCCCTGGCGGCCCGGAGGACCCCGGCGGCAGCCTCGGGATCTCGGCCCGGCCGCCGCCCGCCCCTTGCCGTGCCCTGCCGGGCCAGCCGCTCACCCCCCCGCAGCCCCAGCCCCGAGCTCCCCACCCACACCCCAGAGCGCGTCAAGCCGCACCGAGGCCCAGCCTCCCCCGCTCCCCGCAGCCGCGACTCCATCTTGTCCCCCGCAAGCGCCACACGCAACCCCCTCCCCCCTCCCCAGGGTCCCCTCCTCACCCCCACCTCACCGCCAGGCAGAGACAAACAGAACGGCCAAGTTTGAGTGCAAAAAATAAATATAAAATTTATTAAAACACCCACAATATTTTAAAGATATCAGGAATAATACATCTCGCAGCCTGGTCGGCTGCGTGTAACTTAGAATAAAATACAAATTAAAAAAAAAAAAAAAAAAAAAAGAAAGGGAAAGGGAAAGGAGGGGAAGGATCCATACATGGAATTCTTAGGCATCCTAAAAATAAATTTACCAAAACACTGGAGGTGAGGGTTAAAAATAGGGCATTAAGAAACAAAACAAACAAAAACCACACACAAAAAAAAGGGAAAGAGGGAAAATTATACAAAATAAAATTATCAGCATAAATTTACTGTCCTAGAAGTATCTACAGTTTAATACACATTAATCCTATTGCCTTGAGACATGGGAAAATCTACCGTTCCTCGATCCGCCCCGGAAAAACTTCATTTCAAGTAACCACAGTCCCGAGCCGACCAAGAAATCTTCAAGTGTGAGTCCTTGGGAGCCACAAGGACTTTGCGCGGTGCCCCCCCACCCCCCTGCCTGCCACCGTCCCACCTCCCTCATCAGCTCTCTAAAACCCGAACAAAATGTCAAAAAAAAAAAAAGCAAACAAAAAATAATAATTAAAAAAAACCACCTCCAATTAAATCCCGAGCGCTGAACCCAAGAAAATGGCGCTTTTTTTCCTTTTATTACCTATTCACTGCTCTGCAGTGCAAAACCCACCGCCAAAATGCTTCCAGGATAAAACAAGGCTGAAACTATGGCAGTTTGTAATCCCTGAAGGATGCAAAAATGAGGAAAAGCCTGGGTGGAAAGGTATAACAGGAAAAAAAAAAAAAAAAAAAAAAAAAAAAGGGAACAAACACCGCTGCAAAAGGATCCCTGATTTTGGAAAGATTTGCCCCAGTTTCACTTGCCTTCGCTGCCATGGCGCTGCGGGGTGTGTGTGGGGTTGAGGTATTTGCCTTGGTTTTGGGGCGTGGGGGAGCTGCTGCCCCCCAACTCACAGGAACCCAAAGGAAAAAAGTAGCACCAATGAAACCCAACAAAATGCAAAGGGAAAAAAGGGAAAATAAAGAGATGTGAAAGTGTGAAGCCCAGCTGTTACCTTGCCATGGCTCCCCCTGTAAGCAAACCCCTGTTGTTTCAGGGAGGGAAATGAGCTGCAAGGGATGGCGAGCTGCTGGGCACCGTGTCAGGGTACTGTGCCAGCGTATGCCCTCATCCAGTGTTGTGCAGTGCCCATGCACAGTGCTCGTACGACATGACCAAGCGCCACACGTGTGCACTGTGGCTGTGCACCAGGTGCAAGCACCACGTTGAAGCACTGTGCCTGAGCATCATGCCTGAGCACCATGTACACGCATGGTGGGCAAACAAGTCTAAGCACCATGCCCAAGCACCATGTCCATAATGCCCAAGCACCATGTTCAAGCACTTAGTCAGCTAACTATGGGCAAGCACCGTGCCTGAGCAACTGTTCCTGAGCACCATGTCCACACACTGTGCCCAAGCACCATGTCTGTTTACAACAGCCATGCATCCTGTTCAAGCACCATGTCTGTGGACCATGCCTGAGCACTGTGACCAGTGCCTGAGCACCATGGCCATGCCCTGTGCCTGAGCACTGTCTGAGCACTATGCCTCTGCCCTGTGTGCACACAACACACCCGCAGACCAGGCTGTGCACCCTGTCTGAACACAGTGCCCATGTACCATGTCTGCACATACAGCTAAGCACCGTGGCTGAGCACCATGTTCACACACCCTGACCGAGCACCAAGTCCACACACTATGTCTGAGCACTGCAGCTGAGCACCATGTTCACACACCCTGGCTGAGCACCAAGTCTGCACACCATGTCTGAGTACCAAGCCCACAGACCATGGTGAAGCACCACGTTCACACACCCTGACTGAGCACTACAGTCAAGCACCATGGTCACGTATCGTGGCTGAGCACCAAGTCCATGCATCCTGCCTGAGCACCAAGTCCACACACCGTGTCTGAGAATCAAACCCAAGCACCATGACCAAGCACCAGGTTCACACACCCTGGCTGAGCACCGTGTCCCTGGTGCATGGCTGAGCAAAGTGCCCAGGTACCACATCCACGTACTGTGGTTGAGTAACACATCAGAAAACTGCACCTGCCTGCCCTCTTGCTGGCTCCCTGGCCCTGTACTGGAGGAGAACGAAGCCACTGCAAGCAAAGGTGCCTCCAACACTTCCGCAGGGCACCGATCTCTGTTTGCATAAAAACAACACACTCCCGTCACTCTCAGAGTTGTCGCTTCAGAAAAGTAAACTTCCTTCTCAACGACATTGCTTTTTTTCTTGGTTCTCTAGTTTCCTATATACATTAGTAGCACCACAGCAAGATGGAATCAGGCAGAAGCATGATACAGTTTGTTAAAACACCATAGCACCATTTTAATTAGAAGATTTCATTTAATAAAAAATATGCCTTAAAGAGCCCACAAAGCATATTCCAGTATTAAAAGGAAAAGTCAGCAATTGAGGCACCTCAGGGATTCTGGTTTCTTTCTCCTTCCTGAGCCTCGTCCTGAGAGCGCCAAGAGGGGGAGCTGCCCCCCGGAAACGCTCCCTGTCACCCAGACAGCTCCACAGGCTGAGGTGAAGCATCATGGCCTGAAACGCTGAAGTGGGTGGAAGGAGCCTGTTGGGCTCCCTGCGTCAAGATCTCCCCCGTGTTTCCATTGTGGGTGTTCTAGCACCAGTGTGGCTGCAACCTGCTGCAGAGTGTTCCCCGCCGCCACCCCCACCCCCACCCCAGCCCCAAAGCAATTAAAACACTGCCCCCAGCAAGTCCCGCCACCCACCACGCGCCACTATGTCCCCTTAATGCTTCAACCCCCATGGCTTTTGCGCGGGTGGGACAAGCATGAATGCTAGCGCTGGTACGGATAAAGAAAAAGATTTCGCTTAAAACAGACTCTCAGCAGCAAGGGATAAAGAGCTGTGCATAGTTTTCTAGTTTTCATATAAGAAGTCTGAAGCATGCTAATTTTCAATGACTGAGATTTGAGGTAGGTTATACGTATGTAGTGTAAAAACATGAGACTGCAGCAGTTCTCGCTCCCAACCCATGCACAGCTGCCGCTGCCATGGTGTCCACCCCCCCCCCCCCCCCAAGTTTGGACCAGTTTGAGCCTCCCTTTGAGGCAGGGAGGGAGACGCCATGCTGGAGTGAGCCCCCCGAACCAGAAACCTCCAAGGAAGCAGGACTTAGACAGGTTGTATGGACTGAAACATTCTCCAAACACACCCCTTTCTCCCAAACACCGCAAATTTCTTGCTAACATCATCTATGCGAAGCTTTCAAGGCACCCCTGCGACAACCTACAATGTGGAAGTCAGACGAGACCTGGGCGAAACAAACCGAGGCCGGCACCCGAATCCGACCCCTTTTTTTGCCCTGTGAAGATCACCACCACTATGCCACAGCCAAGCACCATGGTACACAGCCCCAGGACACACAAACCTGTCCATGGGCTTCCCTAAAATTTGACTTGCCATAAACTCTACAATCCTGATATGCTATTGGGTACTTATAAGAAAAGCAATAATAGATCATTGAGTTTCCTTGTCAAATATATGCAACTTTACAGATTACGGTTAAAAAAAAAAAAAAAACTATGAAGGACGGACAAAGCATGTTAAATATTCTGCCAGTATTTACAGTTCTCCCACAATTATCTTGTTTAAAACATACTGCTTTTAAGTTGTTGGGAAGGGGAGAGGGAATTTGCTTTTTTTTTTCAGTTTTGCTTTCATTTTTACATCTAGGTGAAAGTGCTTTTAAAAAAATTCTTTCCCTATTTACAGGTTTAAAATCAGACTACATAAATGTTCAGGCTGTTTTACCAAGATCCTGCTAATCTGTGCCAGTGCGGAAGGAACAAGGGTTACAGTAAACACAAGGTGATTTCTGCACGGTGATGGCATTGGCTTTCGCTCACTCGCTCTCCAAAAGGCACCTGAAAGTGCAAAAGCAATGACTGGGGACACTGACACCCAGCTTCGGTCTTGGTGGGGCCCCAGCTCCTGCCACACCACCTGCCTGGAGAGCCGCATTAGAGCTCGCCTGCCCCAGCACAGCTTTGGGAGACAGAGGCAGGCGAAAAGCCTCAAGTGAGATTGTTTGAAAAGCACCACGTGGTTGTTGTTGTTTTTTTTTTGTTGTTGTTGCTGTTGTTTTTTTTTGTTCTGTTTTGTTTGTTTGTTTGTTTGTTTTGCGGGAAGAACGGTGATCCATAGGAAGGAGAGATGACAGCACCTGGGGAGAGAATAGTGCCACGCTCAAGCAGTGCTTGCCACCAAGCTGGCTTGCTCAGAGAGGCCGCTTGCATGCACAATGAGACTGGCACATTTGGAGAGTCAAGTCTTGGATTCACTCTTCCCAGAGCCGATCACATGGAGAAAGTCCCCCAGAGACTGAAAGCACCAGACTTTAGCAACAGTGATGTACAGAGAGCAACACTAGCTATTCACAGTTCTGTGTTGTGTTTTTTTTTTTTTTTTTTTTTTTTTTTTCTGGTTTGTTTGTTTGTTTGTTTGTTTATTCCAATTGGCTCCTTGGAGGTGCAGCCACCGCTGAGCTGCTCCTCTTCTCCTTGGGGCCACTGGCAAAGGAGCCCCCAGATCTGAGCGTAAGCTTAGCTCCCTGGGAGCAGCGTCCTCACCTCAGTGCTCTGAGCCCAGAGGTGTCCTGAAGTCTCCAGTGCCAGGAAAAGCGCCATCCTGGCAGAGCCAAGCTCGCCAGCAGCAAAAAGCCACACGTGAGCACACCATTCCAGGACATACTGCCTGCGAATGGGCCTCCCGTATCTGTAAGAAAGAACTCCTCGAGTTGCAAAATAAGTTTTGTAGGTCCTTGGAAAAAAAATAAAATCAGATGTTCAGTGTGTCCAGCTAATAAAGCACGTTTCCAGGTGACTCTAACATGCAATCCCTGCTAGTCTCCATGCATGGGAGCTGGAGAGATTCACCTCTTGCTTTGTTAAGCTGGTTTGGTGTTTGGGTTGTTTCCTGGGTATTTGTTGTTGTAGCTGTTGTTTGTTTATTTATGTTTGCTTCTTTTCTGAAGATCACCTTTGTCATTGTTGTTGGAGTAAAACAAAAAAATTCCAATAAATATGTTTTAAGTGGAATTAAAAACTTCTCCTTTGTGAAAGGATGCTATAAACTTCTCTCTCCATTCTTGCAGTGCACAAGGATAGATTAAAAAAACAGAGATATAAATATTAGATTACCAAAAAATGCCAAAGAGCATTGTTCCTTTGTTTTTTTCCTACTTCTCACCAAGTGCAGCTTTCCAATGGCTTGCACCCGAGTTGGTTTCATTTTTTCCAAGTATGTGTTGGATTTATTTTGCTTTTCTGTTTTTTTTTTGTGTGTTTTTTTGTTTGTTTGTTTTCTTCTCCCCCATGCCTGAGGAGAAAGCACCACAAAGCAACACCGGTGCTCCAGTGCTGCTGACTTTGAGGTAAGATGGGCTGCGGCAGCTGCCTCCGCCTCAGATCCAGCGGCTGTAGGGGCCTGTCACCTTGGTGTAGGCATAGGAGGACACAGTGATGGCAGAGTTGGTGGGGATAGCCACTGCCTGCCGCGTGGGGACCAAGTCCCTCCTCTCCTTGCTGGGCGCCTCGGCTGCCAATGCACCACCCCACTTGCGCTTTTTGGCGAAGGCCTTGGCATCCTGCTGGAGACCGAGGCGTGCAGCCTCCTCCTGCCGAGCACGGGCGCGCTCAGCCAGCTGCTTCATCTTGGCCTCCCACAGTGCCAAGCCATGGTTGGGCTGGTTCAAGTTCTTGTGTTGGTAGAAAACCAAGGAGATGCGGGTGGGGTGGCATCGATTGGGCTTCTTCAGCGGAGTGGTGGCATGCAGCTCACGGCGGGCGCATTCGATGAGGATGGAGCCATGGGCAGGTGCCACAGCCACACCACCAATGTTCTCATCCAGGAAGTTGTGCTCACTGTCTGACCACTCCTCCTCTTCTTCCTCTTCTTCCTCCTCTTCCTCCTCCTTCACCGTCTTCTCTGGCAGCTCCTCGATGCCCTCCTCCAGGCCAAAAGGATCCCATGGCTTCTCCCTTTGGGACCCCACCGCACCCTTCTCATGCACTGCTGCCTCCCACGCCTTTTCAGGCAGCCCTGGGATGGGTGCCGGTGTCCTCTGCTCCTCCACCTTGGCTGAGCCCCATGGTTCCTCGGGGAAGCTGGGCAGCCCTGGCAGGGCCGAGCTGAAGCCCAGCGGCCCCAGCTCCCAGCCCTTGTCCCGCAGGGTTGGTGTGCCTGCACTCGCCAGCACTGCCTCGCCCAGCTTGCAGGGGCTCCATGGTTTCGGCAGCAAGCTCGAGCCACATGCTGCTGCTGCTTCTCCTGACAGGACATCAGGCCACTGCTTCTCTGGCAGCGGCAAGCGCACGGCAGCATCAAAGGCGCTCAGCTTCTCTCGTCCACCTGAGCCTGCGGGGCTGGTGCCTGGCACCAGGCTGCTCCACGAGCTCTCTGCCGTACTAGTCCTCTCAGGAGAAGACGCACCTCGGGACACTTTGTATGGGCTCCAATGCTGCTCTGGGCCCCCACCACATGCTGGCACAGGGACGACTGGAAGGGCCAGGTCAGTGCCGGGTACAGCTGCTGCTGCACTGGGAAGGGGCTCAATGCTGGGTGGGGGGTCCAAGGGCTCCTGCTTGATGGCCCTGCTGCCAAAACAGTTCTGTGCAAATGGCGGTGCATCCTCTGAGCCTGTGCTAGTCCTGTGCACCCCAGCCACTGCCTTCTGCTGGCTGGCATACCGACTGGCCCGCTCGTAGGTGCGCTGGTGATGATTTTTGCTCCGGACATTGTGTGGGATGGGCTCAGGGAAATCTGTGTTCCTGTAGGTGTGGTTGAGGTTCTCCTGCAATGCCTGGATGTTGGGCTTCTTCTCGTAGGTGTTGTTCACCCTCTCGGTTGCCCCATAATTCAGAAACTGCGAGGGGAATACATGGTTGCTGGAAAAACCATAATACCCGAAGGAAGGAAGCGTGAACTTTGAGTGAAACCCATTCACAGAAGGCAGATTGGGCTGTGCATAGTAGGAATGGTAAGAGTAAACACTGTTCATGCTGTAAGGGTCAGAGGGCCGGCAGCTCCCCAGCACCGAGTAGCTCTCCACCACTGCATTGCCGTTGTACTTGAAAGCGTTGTAATGGCTCTGCGGCTCCACCTTGATGGAAGGTTTCAGCGGCTGTGGGGGGATCCCACTTTTCAACGCCATACCTGCAGGCACAGCACACACAGCCACTGTGACCAGCTAGCTGAGAAGGCCATCAGCAGGGACCAAGGACTCCAGGCCCCCAAAAAATCAGTTAGTCTCAAAAATCCAACACCAATGGGCTTGCTGGCCAAGCACAGAGCTCAGCTGCAACTAGCATCACTCAGTGTGCTGGCAGCAATTCATTCCCATGAGCTGAGCTGCAGCAAGATAGCAGGTACCCCAAAAGCCATGGTGCAAATGCAGGCACCACAGTATAAGCCAGTAATGCCAACCTGCACTCAGTGACACTCCTGCAACCTCTGGCCCAAGAAAGCCCCCACCCACTACCCCCAGAAGCCACAGGGGAACATCCCCTCACACGCCTTCTGGACAGCTTAGGGCCATGGGACCTCAGCTCTGTTCCCATTACCTGCATTTTGTTGGAGTGTGGGAAGTTCGAGCGCTTCCTGCTTGATCTTCTCTGGTGTCATCAGCTTCTCTTTCTGTAGCTTCTTCTTCTCTGCGGCAGCTTTCTTTGCTTCCAGCTGCCTCTGCCGACAGGACTTGGCAGGTTCAGGTAGTTTGCGGACCTCACGGGGGAAAGATGTAAGCACCTGGATGGCCCCACTGCCCACCTTTGCGTTTTGGTTCTCCTCACTGCCAAACTCGTCTGTGCTGGACATCTTGTAGAGGGGGAGGACGTGCAGCTGTTCATCTTCAGGGATCTTCCCTACCACGCGATTGTCTTCTTTTGTCAGCGTGCAGACCTGGGAGGAGCGCAGGGTGCCATGAGTGTCCAGGACTGCCAAACCCTTGAGATGCTAATGAATGCAGCCCAAGGGGGACAAGGGCAAAATCCCCTCCTCAACACAAATCCGTATCAGCCTGATGGCTTCCCAGGCTTCCACTGGTGCACCCCCCCAGCCCACACCACTCCCCAGATGCTGACTGGAAACCTCCCGTGGGGTTTGGGTCAGACAAGAGCAAACACACAGTTCTGATTACCACTTTGCTTTCATCTAGCAGGGATAGCTTCAGCACCCCACAGATGTATTTTCATTTGAGGGGCCTTTCTGCTTTCTTAAGCAATTTCAGCATCAAAAAGGGCATTGCTCCATGAGTGCAAGCACCGAGGACCAGCCACCAGAGTCATGCAGGTAGGAAGGGATGTGACAGAGGCTCAGATATCTCCGCTCCAAAGCGCTCCCTGCGGGGTCCAGCTGGATGTCGAGCAGCTTAAAATGCAGTGAATGGGGAACCATCCTGAAAACCAATGCCAGCGCCTGCTTACCACTGTGCAGCCATTGTAGAGGTTATGCTGATCTTTGTGAGCATGAGCACAGAAGTCCATGCACGCTGTCACCCCTGAAAACGGCCTCCCCTCCTTCAAGCCCAGACGGCAATCTATTGCGACATCCTCGTTGGTAACCTAGAGGAAGAAGGAGAGGGCTCCAGTTGCCTGAAATCTGTGCACCACCACCCCACTCCTGTTTCTGCTGACTGACAGGTTGTGGAGACCACAAGAGGATGAGTAAGTGGCCCGATACCTGGTTTTGGTAGGCCTGTGGTGCCAGCCTTTTGTAAAGTGGAGCAACCTCAGTGGCCAAATCCTGAAAGCTTTTCCGGAGCAGCTCTTCCTACAATAGGGAAGAGAAAGCATTGATGTACAGGAGGACATCACTCAAGGGTTTCAGCAGTGGGGATGCAATTAGGAGTGGAGCCCCGGTACACCACCTTGTGTCCAACTTGTTCTGCTATGTCTGCCATCACACAAAGAGCACAGCCCAAATTTCTGGTGACATCTTGGCTATTCAACTTCCAACCAAAGTCTCTTGTGCTTTTGCTTGCTCAGCCCAAGAGCCCTCTGCCATCTCCCTGGGGTTTCTAGAGAGACCCCTTTTGTGTCACCCTGTAACGGCTCTTGGCAGCAAAGTCCTGGGACATCAGTGAGAGCCTTACCAGGTCAGACTGACTTTCTTTTCCCCACCATTTCATCAAAAATACCACAAGGTACCCTGTTCTCATGCTTTCTCCTTGCCAAATTTGAAGCCAGGGTTAAAAGGAACCCACTCTCCCTACCCTCCACTACTGCTCCACTCTGTCTGTGTCACCCACCTCTTTGGGATTGTCCCCCACCAGCCTGAATTTCCGTGGAGTTTTGCTTCGGGCATATTTGCAGCCATTAAAATACATGCTCCAGGAGCAGCCGAAGGAGAAGGAAGCACCACAGGTGTTGGGGTCTTTGCCTTGGCATGCACAAGTCCGGCTGCAGGAGGGACATTGAAAAGGAGCGTCAGCTGCTGGCACAGTGAGAGCAGTCCCTTCTGGGGATGCAACAAAGCCTGGGTGGAGTGTAGGGAGTTCCTCCACTGGTTTTAGAAATACAGGAGGGACACCTCAGTTGCCATTCCACCCACTTCCCCAGCCGGCATGGTGGCACTTACTCATCATTCAAGCCGCAGCGACGGCTGGTGGGGTTGCCGTACTTGGTGAGAGTGTCAGTGAGCTCCTGGTATAGCGTGTCACCCAGAGTGCGGGGAATACCCTCCCAAGCCAGGATCAAGATGATGATTACGGCATTCTGGCAGTGGTGGCCGGCCCGGTGACGCACCAAACACAGCAGCTTCTCCTCTTGGTTGTGTCTCCGGATCACCTGGAAAACAGTCAGGCCAAATCAGACTGCCCTGAGAGGGAATGTTTCCCAGGACTGGGGGCAAGAAGGCCCCCAAAAGCGGGTGCCGGCTACCTTTTTATCATTCCTCAGGAATTTGGGCAGCAGAGCTGTGAGTGCTCCCATGGTTACCTCCTTCCCCATGGGTTTTGGGGTGCCAGGGGGACACGCTGCCAGCCTGGCCCTGAGGATATGCCATTTGGTGGGTGCCACTGGGCAAGTGCAGGAAGCCCTGCAGAGTTTTCCTGGGGGTGGCTGCAGCTTTTCCTTTCTCTTTGGCTGCTGCAGCTCGAGCATCTTGCCTTGGCCTCCCATGGCCACTACCAGAGGGGACCTCCTTGTCCCCAGGCAGAGAGGGGACAGAAAGGGAGAAACAGTGAGTGTAGTGATAGGACAAGTAGTAATGGCTTTAAAAAAACTCTTTTTTTTTTTTTTTAATTTTAAACAGTTCTCCAGACACAGATTTGATTTAGTGGCACTGATGCAGTGTGACGTGCAGGCCCAGGGACCCCTAAGACAGCATTAAGTGGTGCCATCCAGGCATCCCCTTCTGCTACAGTGATGCCTTGAGGAGGCCTGGGGGCCATAGGCACTCACCCACTTGGCGATGGGGCAGCCCCGGGAGCTTTTCCCCTCCTTCCCAGTGTAGATGACCTTCTCAATGCGGATGGCCTTGCCCTTCTCACCGTACCTGCCAGGGAGACACATACTAGCTGCACACACCCTGGCGAGGACCAAGAGGCACTCACAGGGCCACATGCAACCTCACAGGCCCTGCTCACCCCCATGCAATCCACCGAAGGGACTCCTACCATCGTGAGTACCCACAGGCCTGCACAGGCTCCCACCAGCACCTACAAGCATGCACTTGACCTCATGAGGACACATGTGCCCACAGAGCCCCATGCACCCTCACAAGGCCCCACACACCTTCTCGAGCCCTCCCCTTGCCCTCAGGAAACCCCCAAAGCCCTCTCTGATGGCTCCGCGTCCTCAACATCAGAACTCCCCTTTGTCTGCAAGGGGTTGGGGTGGGACAGGGCCCTTACCGCTCCTCCATCAGCTCCCGGATGGACGCCACAGTGGGCCCCGAGCCCAGGTGGGTGTAGTATGGCCCCTCATCCTTCTCCACAATTTGCTCTGCAGGAAAAGGAAGGGGGTTGGGGGAGACAGAGATTTTGGGGTTTGCATGTCCACAGGGGGCTCTGACCCCATGGATGCCAAATTCACTCAGATGAAGCACTTCTGCACCAAAAATCAAGCATTTCCCCACTAAGGGAGCCTAAGCAGGCACCCTTGCTTGCAGTTGCAATATATGGCATTGAGTGTTTTAGGACTGGGGAGGTTTTAGTCTGGATTTATAGCTCCTTTGCACCCCCAAGGCAGCCAGGGATGTTGGCAAGCACTGGTGCCAAAACCTCAATACTCCTCCTCCTTATAGGTGCTTCTACAGCAGAGGAGGAGGACAACAGGGTCCTTTAGGGGTGAAAATCACTGCAAAACCCATTTGGAGACAGCCCCAGCTATGCTCCATCCCCCAGCAAGGAGCAACTTGAGCTAATGCATGCAACAGCGAGGGGTGAAGCCCTGAGAGAGGCCAAAAACTACAAAAATCCTGCGTAGTTAATGGATAAGCTTGTTTTTAATGAGAGAGGAGTGAGTCTCCGTTTCTGACCCTTCTTTCAAAGCAGGCAAAGGAGCCGAGCTTTCCACCATGCAGGGTTTTCCCTGCAGCAGGGGCTGAGACACATGGAGAGGGAGGTTTCATCACACACAGGAGGGCTGAAATGATGGCAGGATTTCAACAGGATCTGATTTTTGAAGCCTTGTAGGGCAAGCCACTTAATAACCTAGCTGTCTCCCACCACCACGTATCTCTCTGCTGCCCCTGGCATGGGAGATTTGCTTGGGCCACCCGAGCATGCTCTGTTTTGAAGAGAAGTGATTAGCTGCAGCGGCCACCTCAGCACATGAACCCTTGGACCCCCTCTGCTCTCTGCCTACCTGCTTACACGATGTTCACCCACCTGGCCCCGCACACTGCAACCGGACCAGCCGGATGCTATTGAAACCACCCCGAGATAATTTTAGGACTGAAAACTGCTGCCGCCTGCTGTCTGGATTGCCTGGAGGATGTGGGGGTGCTCTGGGTTGGCTGAACCTGTGCAAGGCAGGAGCTGCTCAACAGGGGAGAGGCAGAAGCAAGATCACACTACCGCAGAAGGATGCTTGGGCTACAGCCTGCAAGCAACATAGCCCCAGCAGCAAACCCCCTCAGGGCTTTTCGGGCATGGAGGTGCCAGATGGAGAACTAAAGGATGCTCCAGGCAGCTGCAGCAGCACAGGGGTCAGTCCCCAGAGCACAGGGATGCTCAAGCACCGCTGGGTCAGATGCATTCGGCACAGCGGGCTAGAGCTGGTCTGTCTTCCCATCCCTCTGCTCTCAGCCACATGATTTTCATTCCTGTCATGTCTAACTGGCTTGGCGCCAGGGCTAGGAGAAAGCAGGGCTCAGCTGAGCTGCAGCTGTCCAGACAGAGATCAATACAGGACACGCAGCGAAAGCTGATTTTATTACAGTGTCTAACAGCACAGACACCTAATAAAGCACCAAGCCCCGACTCCTACTTAATTGCTTTCTCTCACAGCTTTTCCTTGAGAAAACGGGGAAAGGTAGAGGCGGGAAATCCTCCCCCCAAACCTCTAAACCACATTGAAAAAGAAAAGCAACGCAAACCTTTCCTGGCAATGGATGTAAAACTCCAAGTTAAGTTTGAGCAGCTCCAGAAAAGCCTTTCATTTGCTCAGTGTCATTTGGGCTAATTACTGCTGCCATTTACAAGCAAATAAATAAATAATCATATGCCTCACTAATAAAGTGCAGTTTGTGCTTGGCCTGAGGCCACCTCTCTCAGTAGCATAGGGGCTTGGTTTTCCTGCACCCACTGACCCCAAATCCTTGCCTTGCTCCTCACAGTTTAAATTTGGAGGGAGAAGATCCAGCTCCATGCACTTGTGAAGAAAGGGACAGTGGAAGGAGATGGACTGCAGAGACCAAGCAGGAACTCTCCAATACCTCCTGCGAAGTCTAACAAATGCCAGCAAAAAAACAAAAAAAAAAAAAAAAAAAAAAAAAAACAAAAAAACCACCACCAAACCCAGAGTTTTGCATCTTTCAACACATCCTGGCAGGGACAGCAACTGAAAGAAACAGCATCCTGGTGGCAAATATGGCCCCTAAAACAGCACAAGCCAAGAAGAGATGCTCTTACTTTGAGTAACCCACTCCAGCTAATTCAACTTACAATAGCGGTAAGAACAAGGCAAGGTTCTAGGCAGGTTGGTGGTGCTGGGGCAGGTATGTGCCCCTTTATGGGATTTAGCTGAACAACTAAGCGGAGGTAAAATCAACAACGCTTTGGTTTTGCTGCTCTTCCAGCCTGCGCCAGCACAACCAAGTCAGACACCACCACAGCAATGCCATGCTCACTTGGCTTTGGCCACCTCACCATAAAAATAAGAGAGAAGAAGAGAAAGACCAAATGTACCCCACAACCAACACATGAGATCTCTGCAGCCTCAGAGTTTTGCCAGAAAAACAAATTCCACACAAAGCTGCAAAGCAGTCTCAGTCCTCCCCTGTCACAGACACTGCTGGGGTTGGATGAGACCAAAATACCCATCTCCCATTTGGGAGCAAACCCAGAAGCAAATCTTGGTGCATTTTTTTTTCAAGTTTGGACCCCAAGATAATGTCTGTGTGGGTATGTTGATCCTACGACAAAACAGTTGATGCAAAACAGAAGCAGGAACATGCACAAAGCCAAAAAGAGCAACATCCCCAACCCTTAACAAAAACAAAACAATACAAAACACCGTTTTCCTGGCATTATGGCATCACTCTTACTTATCCAGGGGAATCCCACCCTGCAAACCCCAAATCCCACTCTGGACAGCTTGAACTGTGCTTGCCATTGCCCCAAGACCCCCAGCACAGCTGCTTGCTCACCGACACAGTCACAAGTGGGGAACTCTGCCTGTGCGCGCTTGGCTGGGGTGTCCAACAGGCTCTTGGTCGGCGTGTCCAGGTATTTCAGTGGTGACTCCAGGAAACCGCTGAGGGTTGGCGTCAGTGGCACCTCATCCTTGGTGGGTGTCCCCTCTGCCTCATCAGTGTTTTGGCTCTCCTCAGAGTAAAAGCACGTGGTTGACACCACAGTGATAGCACCAGAAGACTCAATTTTGATCTGTTTGGGGGACCGTGCAGAGAAAGTAGGCTCCAAAAGCGGTCCCTTCCCTGGTGAAAGTGAAAAGCTTTTGGAGACAGGCTGGGGAGAGCTGCTAGAGGCCAAGGTGGTGGTGCTGGCAGTGGGGGGCATTTGTGAGGCTGGTGCCGGACCCCCCCGCAGCTCAGCTGTCCCAGGAGGCTGCAGGTTGAAGTTCTCCCCAAATTCAGCCTCGAACTGCCGGATGAGCTCTTCCAGCTTGTCATCCACTACAATGGGGGCTGGTGGGGCAGACAGCACTTCTTCTGAGCCAGATGAGCTTGGTGTTATTGGCAGGTGGCTTTGGGGGCCCCCCCCAGGGGCACCCCTTTCCTGAGAATTGGGAGTGGTGGGCAGGGGTAGTGCAAGAGACTGCTGGAGCGGGAAGGCAGGTGGTGGCGGCTCGGTTTGCATCTCTTCAGTTGGGGGCTCAGCAGGTGCCCGAAACCCCTCCAGACTGATTTGCCAAAGGGGCAGGAAGAGCGGCTGTGAGTCTTTCTGCTTGGGCTTCTTGATCTGCACTTGCTTGCGGGCTGGCTTTTCGGGCTGTGTTTTCTTCTTTTTCTCTTTGGCCTGCTTTTCAAAGGGTTTGGGTGGCCCAGCCAGGGCACTGGGTGCCCACCAGCCAGGCGGCCGCTCTGGGGTGGCCACGGCTAGGCTCTGCTCAAGGAAAAGGCTGCGCTTGTGATGGAGATGCTGCTGCAGGACCAGCTGCGTCTTCTTGTGCAAATTGGGCTCCTGTGGCAGCGGTGGCACGCGGGGGCCGCTTGCCACATCCTTGGCAAGCGCTCGTTCAGGGGGCTTCAACGCCGCTGTTGTGGGGGCTTTGCCAGCCTCGGGCCGCTTGAAAGCTGCCTTGATGTAGTCAGTATTGCCCAGAAGCTGCTCCAGCTCTGCCATGGGGTCTCTGGTCCCTGCCAGAGGCACCGTGCCAAAAAGCGGCTCTGGTGAGGCACCAGGCTGTGTGAGGAAGCGGGGCCCCGGCTCTGGTGGGACAAGGGGCCCCGGGGGCAGCGGGGCTGTGGGTTGCCCATCACCACTGGGTTGCGGGAGCGCGGCTGAGAGCTGCGTTAGGGCTTCGATGGCAATGGCTGTTTGCAGGCTGATGTTCTTCTCCTTGGCGATGTTCAGTGCACTTTGGGAAAAGGGGAGGCCATCCGACGGGCATGGCTCAGCGGTCTCAAGCACCGGCTGGGGAGCAATAGCACCTTTCTCAGGGGGTGGTGGGGAGGCCGGCACCGGCTCCTCGCCCAGAGCCGATTTGATCTTCTGCTCCAGCCACTCCAGGTAGTCGGGGCACTCAGGGCCATCACAGTTGCAGTTGGGGGGCTTCATGCCATGCTTGGCCAAGGCCAGGGCAGCCTTGAGGGCATGCAGGTCCTCTCCCTGTGGCATACCGTCCTGCGGCGCCAGCACCTCGCTCAGCCCTCCCCTGCTCATCTCGGTGTCAAACTTCTTGTACAGCAGCGAGGGAGAGTCCAGGGGAGGCAGCCGGTAGGAGGACACAGCCTCAGCCACTGCCGAGAAGGCCACCAGGTTTCTGGCATCCTCCAGATGGGCTTTGCCAGCAGGGGCCGACTGGCCAGGCAGCCAGCTGCTTGGCTCCATCAGCGTGCTGCCCCCCACCTCTGGCTGGCCCCCATTTGCCAGGCTGAGCCCGTTGCCCTCATTCAGCTTTCTTTCTTCGACATAGTTAATCAGCCCTTCTTCCATTTGGCCTCTTCTGGGGCCATCAACTGGGTCGCCCCCCGAACCTGTCTGAGAATGGGGAGAGTGGAGAGGTGTAAGCACCCCTTGCAACAGTCAACATGCGCCCAAATTCCTCCTTCCACCCCTGCAATTTTTGTCTTTCATCCATTTTACCACAGAGCCCCACAGCTTGAAATGCAGCCACTTCTTTTCACCCCCCACGCACCCTTCCCAGCCCCATGCCACCCACGTCTCCCACCACCCAGTTTCAAAATCGCTCATGGGATGTTTCGGTATTTCCACCACCTGCAGAGTGTGTGATGAGACAGGGTATATGGGAGGGCATCCCACTCCCAGCTGTGTTTTCAGGAGGTCCAGCCCTGCTGATGCATTCCTTGGGACCCCCTTCACAGCGCCATGGGATTGTGGGGCTTCGCCTCACTTTACCCACTCCTTACAGTGGGGATGAAGCTGTTGCAAAGCATTTTGCTCTGCTTGCATCCAGATGGAGCAAAGACCATCAGGCTCAGGATGAGCTCCTTCATCCTCTGCAAATGTAGCACTGAGCACTGGATAAGGTCACTGCAGCTCCAGGGCTCGGCAATGAAGTTAGCAATGGGGCACTGAGCCCAAGTACTGCTGAAGGACGCATCATGGAGATGGGGGAAACTGGGCCCATGTGTGAAGCAAATATGCTGTCTGGGAGTGTTTCACCTGGAGAAGCCATCCTCCACCACACAAAGAAGCCGCCAAGTTGTCTGTGCCAGTGGCAGGGGCAGCATGGGGATGATTTCACCTTGAATAACCCAACCCCATGTCAGCACAGCTTGCCAGACCCCAGCAACATGGAGCAACAGCACCAGCATCCAGAAAACCATCCTTGTGCCACCTGTCAGAGATGCCCACCCAGAGACAAACTAGCCACATCCAGGGAGACCATCTTCCCGGTGCCAGGGCTCACACATCCCTGTTTAGACCCTACAAGGGCTTTGCAAGAAGCAGGGAGGCATTTCTGCACTCGGTGGTTTCTCCCCTCTCAGTTAATGCCAGGGAGGACTGGGTGCAGTTTGCTGGTCACAGGAAAGCTTCCTGAAAGTTAAAAATACAGCAAAGCTCACTAGGAAAAAAAATGGACAAACTAAGCAAAGGCTTCAGGCAGAACTTCTTGCCTCCAGCACTGGCTCCACAGGAAGGACCTACAGCCCTGACGCTCCAGGAGACCCCAAAGTACAGCTTTGGCATGTGAACAAGCTGTCAGTGGTGAGGAGCTTCATTCAACCCTTCCAATGCCAGCCCTGCAGCTTTCACATGAGCAGTCTACAGGGAGAGATGAAGAGCAACATGTGCACGTAAGCATGGCTGGTTTCGACACAGATAAGAACACTGCTGACTGCAGCAAAACCAAGGAGCAACCACTCCCTGCACAACTCAAGACTTCGCTGCCCCAAAAATCCCCCCCAGGGAGAAAACCTGGGGGGCAAAACTCACGGGCAGCACAAATCAGCACGGTGTGGGTGCAAATTTGCGCTGCCCCTCTCTTGGCATGGGGCATACCCCCATGCTGCCACTGCTTTCAAGGGGCTCTAGTGCCATCTCCTTGCTGGTGATGGTGGGGACTTGGAGCTTGGAGGCACGAGCAAAGGGACCGGTCCATCAGGTCAGGGAGCAAATGCATTGCTGCTCATTTGCAGGGTGGGGACATGCTGCCTCCACGCCCCGTGCCAAGTAACATGGTGCAAGGAAGACACAGCCTTGTCCGTCCTTCCCACGCTGACGCCCCAGCCAAGGTTTTTCCCAAGCAGTACGTAGTGGCAGGGAGAAAATGTTATGAAACCCCCTCAAAGCAGGAACGCTCATGCCCTGAAGCGTTCCTGGTGACGCCAGCCTGCAGAAATGGTGTAAAACCTGTTTAGCTCTGGGCGTGGAGCGAACTGTTGGCCCCAAGGGTTTTCTGGGGCTACCGGGTGGATGTGGGCATGGGAAGCCCCAGAAAACAGCTGGGGACGCTTCTAATGCACCCCAAATGTGGATGTCCCTGAAGCTACTGTCCCCAGCCATGCACTACATCCATCACTACATCAGTGAGCGAAGGAATCAGCCTTGGGGTAAACCTCCCAAGGCATCAGGGCCAGCCGCGAAGAGAGATAAGGAGCTTCCCCACCCTGCCTGGATCCCCAGACCCTGCCAAATCCTCCTCTCTAACTGGTTTCACAGGGAAGCCCTGTCTCAAACCTGCCCTCATCCAGATGGAGCTTCAGAATCTTTTCCCCCTGCATCCATCCCTCAGGCACCACCTCTACCTGCCCCAAAGCTGGCAGGATGCTCACACCCCTTGGTGTAAACAGCACAGCAAAGCCACTGGGTCAGGATGGGACAGCAGCTTGGGCTGGCCTTACACTGTCTCTGCCACCACACTGCTCCATCCAATAAATCAGGTTCTAGAATCAGGCTGGGGATGCAGGAAAAAAGTTCATCCTGCAAATGCACGGCAAAACCCATCCTGTCAGCACTGAGCCAGTGCTGCATCCTGTGGTGCTCCCAAAGGGTTAATCCAAGAGCTGCCACCATCCCCAAATCCATGGGGAAAAAATACATTTTTTTTTCCTGGCTCTCCCACACGGCTCCTTTTGTTCCCAGAGCACCACCGGGGTGGAGGGCAAGCACAGTGGGAGCTGTATTTATGGCCCCGTGGGATTTTCATCCCGAAAACCAACAACAACAACCCAGCCCCAACTCACTCCAGCAGCATACGAGGAAATCCTTCCATTAATCAGCGCTGTTTGCACCTATTCCTCCGCCACACTGCCCATTTCCCCACAGAAAGCAATGCCTGCCCAAACCTCCATCCGCCTGCCCCGGGAAATAATAAAAGCTGGGGCGGGGGGAGGAGGAATTAAAATAAAGAGAAAAAGCAAGCCTTTTGGTTCAGATTAGCTCAGTTGTTTGGCTACTGCACAGTCCGTCTTGGATCCTTGGTGTTTTGTAAAAGGGGGAAAACCCCTTTGAGGAAGAAAATAATTATCTTTTTTGTTTTGTTTTGTTTTTCCCCCTTTTTTAATTTTTTCCTTCTGTTTTAAATGCCTTCAACAGAGGGGAAAAAAAAAAAAAAAAAAAAAAAACAACAACGACAAAAAGCGGCAGCAACCACACCACACAACACACACAGAGCCCTGCTTGGATGCTTTCCAGCCTGGGCTGTGCTCCCTAGGACTGGTCTGCAGCCATCGGTACCCGCGCGGCGGGGGCACGGTGCCGCTGAGCAGGGCTGGCACGGCTGGGGCACGAGGCACTTACGTCTGTGGGGCGGGCGGTGAGGCCGGCAGCGGCGATGGCACCGGGGAGGGAAGGAGCAACGAGTTTTTCAGCCTCAGCCGCCCCAGCCCTCCCCGCCCCCTGCAAACAGCTGGAGGAGCCATTAGCCCCAGCGCCGCACGCACGTACGGACAGACGGACGGATGGATGGCGGAGGGCTGCGCGCTTGCCCGAAAGTACCGACATCTTGGCCTGGGCCCAAACGGTGCCTCGGTGGAGGGGGGGGGGTCCCACCCCCCCAGCCCCTCTCGAGCTCCTGCAGCCCAACACATGCGGTCAGCCATACATCCAACAGCCTAGATATATCCTGCAGCCCTGCACAGCTTTCAGCCCCGTATATCCAGCCATCTTATAGGTCCTGCAGCCCTATCGATCCTGCAGCCCCAGATGTATCAAGTGACACGAGGCGATCAGCAACCTTGTACAGCCAGCACTCCTCTGTATCCTGCAACCTTGTGTATTCAGCAAATTGTATCCAGCAATATGCATACCCAGCAGACCTATATATCTGGCAACCCTACATATCCAGCAACTTTATACATACGACAAATTGTTATATTCAACAACCTATACAATCTGTGGACCTATAAACCTGCAACCCTATATATTCAGCAACACTACAAGTCTTGCAGCCCTATGTGACCTCCAACCCTATATATCAGGCAACCCTATATATCCCGCAACTTGTTATATCCAGAAAGCTATATATCCAGCAGACTTACATATCCGACAAGCCTAAACATCCAGCAGCCCTATACATCCTGCAAATCTGTATGCCTTGCAAAAAAAAAAATATATAAATATATATATATATACATATATATATACATGCAGCAGCCCTGTACAGGGACAAGGTGACCAGGTGCAGTGCTATAGCCACTGTAGGGGACAGAAACATAACCACCCCAGGGCAGATTTGACACATGTTGGCAGGATCTGTCCCAGCAGGGAATGTCACAGGCAACATCTGTCCACAGCTGTATGGTGCTGCCCCATCGCCCTGCCACCCCAGCCATCTCAGGGGACAAGCCAGGATCTGCCTGCCCAGAGGGACAGACAGCGATCCCTGTCTATCCTGCCTGCCCTGGCAAAGCCAGAGCTGCTTCAAAACTGCTTTTTCTCCCTTTTTTTTTTTTTTTTTAATCCTCCCCCTTTTTCAAAATATTATTTTAAACATCCCCATGGCCTTATAAGAAAAATTAAATGAAAGCACCCCAAACAAGCAGGCAGGCCTTCCTGCCATGTTCCTGCTTGTCCTAAATCACGCGCTGCCGCCTCCAAACCACATGTTTAGGAAAAAAACAACAACCCAACAACAGACAAAGAACCGGTTTTAAATCCCTTGTGCTCGAAAAACACCCATAGGGCCCATCCAGCCCCTTGAATTTGTGCTGAAGTAGTAATCCTCTACATGGATATTTTGGGTATTTACTAAATCCCCCTTGCCTCAACGTATTTTGCAAGGGCTGGGCTTAGTTGGGGAGAGACTGGAGCAGCTCAGGTGCATGCTTTGCTTTGTCCCACTTGAGATTACTCTAAGTGGAGGATTTAGGAGATGGAGATGTGGGTGACCTGCATGCAAAGGGTGCATCAGTGCAGGGGAGAAATGCAACACTGAAATCACCATCAGCCAGGGCACAGCAGGGTTTTTGGGAGGTCAGCGGGAGCCGCCAAGAGACAGCAGCCAGGGCCGGCCAAGAGGCAGGCGGCTGCTTGGCTGCCAGCCCCGTGCTGCGCTCATGGTTTTCCTCCACTGGCAGCCAGCCCTGGGATCCTCTGGGCTCAGGGGCACCGTGGGGTCCCACACGTGATGGTGAAGCCCAGGGTGAGTGAGCATCCCTGAGCACAGGCAACCCTACAATACCAAAGCGCATGGCTGCTGTCACTAAAGGGCTTTCCTCTGTTTGCATGGTACAGATGCAGACCCACGAGCACCCTCAGAGAAGGGCATGCTGCTGAAATTACACCCTGGGGAGAGACATGCTGGAGACCTGTGCTGCTCTGCTGGACGTAGAAAGTCACTGAATGCCACCGTGCTACCCGTGGGGGATGCTGCAGAGGAGCCCAGTGGCGTGGATGCCCTAAGCGGATGCAACACCCCCAGGAAAAGCAAATGGGCGAGCTCATAGAGCCGTGCTGTGCCCGTGGGAGCCCCTCCCGGCATACTCCCAGCACCGGCTTATTTGTTTTCCAAGCTGTTTCCATGGCCCCATCTGACCCTGGCGCTGGGTTTGAGCTGCTCACTCCTGTCCTCATTTAGCCCAGAGGAAAGCCAGAGCTGTGCCGAGGCTGAGGGTACGGGGCTGCTTTGTGCCACAGGAAGCCACATTAGAGCCCAACCCTGCTTTGCATCATCCCCATGGGAACCCCCAGAGCTGCAATCCTGCTCTAGATGGAACTGGGACAACTATTCTCCCCCTTTTCCATCTCGCAGGGGGGCAGGGAAACAAATCAATGCAATATATTCACTCTTGGTTCCTGCTGCACCAGCATCAGGAGCTTGCAGTGGAGATGGGGGATTTTTTTCCACATGGAGATTTCCCCATCATCCCTGTTGGAGCTCCAGGAAAAGGGTTTTCCCAGCCAGCCAAACTATGACCAACGGGAAAGCACCATGGCCTTCCAAAGCAAAAGGGAAAGATGGGAAAAAGTGGCTGTTTTGGAGCAGGAGCTGCCCAGCTGCAGAATCCTTCATGTGTGGAGCGAGGGAGAGGTGATTGCTCGGATGCAGCAGCTCCTCCAAAACCACCCCAACCAGGAATGGCTGTACGCCAACATCTGTTGTTAATCCATCCTGGATGCCTTTCAAAGCTGGGATGGAAAATTCATACCCCTGCACGCAAGGAGCACAGGGTCCCATTCCAGCCAGGCAATGGGGGACACCTGCGGTATGGCCCCAACCCCTGATATAACAATGTAGGATGCTCAGCCCTAGGACAGGATGCTCGGCCCCACCGCAAGGATGCTTGGCACAGCAGAATATCGGCTTTTCAGGAGCTGCATGGTTAAGCCATGGCTAGCGTTCCCATCACATCCTTGAGCCAGGAGCCAGTATATGACAAAGGGAGAGGGAATGGTTTGCCAGGCTGCGTCAGGCTGCTCCAGCCGGCAGGGATGGAGGGAGGGGAGAAGAGCTCTTTAAAGGGAAAAAGAGATGGAAAAAAAAAAAAAAAAAAAAAAAAAAACAGCGCTATTTTTGTTTCTTGGATCATCTTTGCTCCGACACAGCTGACTCCTCTCATGCAGGCGTTCAGCTACTAGATTGGCATTGGGTCTGGCCAGGCAATGCCAAAACACTGGGTGGCAGCAAGCAGTGCTCCATCAGGGAAGGGAAAAGTGAAGGGCGAAGGGGGAAGGGGAAAGGTAAAAGGGGAAGCAGAAGTGCAGAAGTGCCTTGGGCCCAGCTGAGCGTCTTGCCCATGCTAACAGCACTTTGCCATCCCATCCAAGCCACCCAACGGGGCTGGGTGACTTTTTGCTGCCACTCATCAATGCCACTGTCTGTGGCAGGACAGAGATCAGTGCCCTCCCACACCCTACCACCACCAACCCAGTGGGGAAATTTCCCCCTTGCCCAATTACTTTGCATTGCAAGCAGGGTGCAGAAACTGGCCAGCTTTCAAGAACTGGTAGTTGCAGTGCGAAGCTGCCCTGCACCCATATTGTCAAGGCTCTGCATGCTGTTTGGAGCAGGGGGTCCTGCACTGTGCTGTTGGTGCTTGGCTCCCTAAATCCCACCCTGTCCCACCATACCTGGGGGATGCACAGCCCCGGCCCTGCTCCTTGCTCCGTGAAACCAGTCAGCAGCCTGAGCTTTCAGCAGAAGAGGAAGAGGAGGAGGAAGAGAAGAAGGAGGAGGAGGAGAAGGAGGAACATGTGTGTGGCAAGCTCAAACATGTCGGCAGCGTGATAGCTGGCGGGCAGGAGCCAGGAGACGAGTGGGAGCCTGGCCCTGCCCAGTCTGGGTGCAGGGAAAGCGCTGGTTCCACCAGCCGGTTTCACTGCTGCAACCGGTCTCCAACAGGGAAAAGTACCTGGGGAGAAACTGAGTCTGGGGCAGGCTCGGCATCACCCAACGCAGTGCATCTGCAGTGCCCCGCTTCCTTCAAGCCACTTCTCCAGCCCCTGTGACTCACCCTGAAATGACAGCAACACTGCCCTGGGTGCCCCACAGGGGCCAGGGGGGTCCCGAAATCCTGGAGCGGATGTGATGGGGACCAAGTCACATCCAGGAAGAGCCTCCTAGGGTCGCATCCTGCTCCGCCTGCTGATGCGGGGACACTGGGACAGCTGCTTCCCCTTTCACCACCCGCCCCAGCTTCAGGCTGAAATCCTCCTTCTTGAAAGCATAGGGTGGAAGCACAGAAAGAGGCTCTGCATTTCTCTGTTTTGCTCCAACCCCTGTAGTGCCCACAGCCAAAGCAAAGCCCAGTACTGCAAGGCAGCTGCCACCTCCAAAGGGGACATCACGATGGCCACATCCCTTCACAAACCATCCTCCCTAGCCAAGGCTGACGAGCAGCATTTCCCCATACTCACCCCAGCATGGCAGGCAGGGAGCCAGCACCACTGCACAGGTGAGTCCCCAGACAGGGGAAGGAATAAAACCTCCCACCAAAAAGTTAATTAGGGTCTAGCAGACTGAGCCCCTTCTCTGCCCTATGTATGGGCTCAGGCATGTGCTCAGAGTCAGACCCAACGTATCTCTCCTAAAAGCAATGTTGAAGCAAGATCACTTGTGAAAGGCAAGCAGGAGAGGAGAAGTACCCTGAAGTGCAGCCTTTCCATGCAAGAATGCATTTGCATCACATTGTTTCTGTCCGCTTCTGATCAGCATTGGCACAACTCTTTTGCAGCATGCTGCACAAAAGCCCCTTTTTTCCTACCAAAAAACATCAGCCCCCTCCCACCCCAGTTGCCTCCTGGGGTCTGCAGTGCTGCTGAGTCAGCACCCACACTGCTGAGTCACCACAGCCACATCAGCCAGCAATGAGCTCAGCTGCGGGGGCTCCAGCATCTCTGTGCATGCTGTTGGAGAGGCCAATGCTCTGTCCCACGACAGGCAGAACATGTGGCTCTGACCACAGCCAGGCAGGTGACACCAGCACCCGCATTTCAGCTGAGAAAAACTTCGCCCAGATCCAAAATCACAAGGTTTGGCTTTACACATGTGCAGTCCCATGATCCGGAGGCTGGTGCTG